ATAACTTATGACTTATAATTAATCATAGTAAACTGTTTTAAAACAATAAATATTTACACGTTGATTAAAAAAAAAAATATATATATATAAAAATTTTATTCCTTTCGTGTTGTTACACATTTATTGGAGAAAAAAAATACGTACCGCATTTTGCAAAAACAATGTTGCACTACAAATTTTTGTGGTAAGATCATAAATTTTTTATTATTGCAAAAGAATATATATAATATATTATTTAGGTTCCTACTTCTTATAACAACATTTTGTCCTTTGTCTTTGATTGGTCTTCCGGTTGGTGGGAATCCAAAAAGTGGTGATGGCGAATGCTTTAAACCTTATAGTGCTATTATGAAAGACTTGCGTACTAATTGGCAATCACCCATATCGTACTTAAAGAAGCGGGGTTACCTTCCAATAAACACTGACGATGACTTTGGTAAAGCTAAATTTAGACAAAATGAAGAAATCTGTTATGCTAGAGCTGTCATACCGCTTAAAGCATTAAATTTTGATCGAGGCAATCTTCATCCAAGGCATGAGATATATGCAAGCCTTGCTAGCAAACCACTCCTAACGCCACCCATTAGGAGCTCTCCGTTGGTAGGTAAAACTTCTTATAATAGCCATAAAAAAATTAATCGCTATAATAACAGAAAAAATTACCCTAATAATAATAAACAGACTGATAATAACAATGATAATAAAAATGGTAATTCAAATAATAACAATAAAATTATAAACAACAGTAATACCATTAATAATAATGGTAACAATGATAATAATAAAAATAATAATAAAAATAATGATGCTAAAGCTGATAACAGTTTTAATAAGAATAAGAGTAATAATGATAATTTGAAAAATAATGGTAAATATAATAATAAGAACAACTATAATAACAACAATAATAATAACAATAATAATAACAATAATAATAATAATAAGAATAATAACAACAATAATAATAACAACAGTAATAACAACAATAATAATAACAACAATAATAATAATAATAAGAATAATAATTATAAAAATAATAATAACAATAATAATAATAAGAATAATAATTATAAAAATAATAATAATGCGAATAATAAAAATAATAATAATAATGAAAATAATAATAATAATAATAATAATAATAATAATAATAATAATAATAATAATAATAATAATGAAAATAATAATAATAATAATGAAAATAATAATCTTAATCAAAACAATAATGAAAAGGAAAAAAGTAGTGATGATAGAGACTCCGATAGTTTCTTCAAAAACATGAAGGAGAAGTTTTTTGCACTATTCTCTCGTAAGCAGTTCCAAAAAGAACCCAATTATCCTTTTGTAGTGGGTGCTGCATATGATGATGAATTTCAAAAGGAGCTGTTCAAGGAGTATGAAAAATTTGCTTTAAAAGATCTCGATTTGGACTTCGAGAAGGCGTTACAGAAGGAACTGGCAAAAAATGCAGCCAAGGAGAGTGGCAAAAGAGGGGATATGGCAACTATGAAATTTATACCAGGAAAGAGAGAAGAATAACGCAGTTTACAGAGGTTTGGATATCTAAACTTCATTAAAAAAAAGGACAAAATGCTTAACTTATATTTAATATCGCATTTTTCTTCACTATTTGGTATTATATTTTGCTTAGCTTTTTTTGTCGTTAAATTTGAATAAAATTTCGTGAGCATATGTTTCTGTTATATTTATAATAATATATGTATGTTGGACTTATTTGCATGAAAATTGTTCATTTTAATAGTCCGGAGAACACAGTTTCATAGAAAAAAGTATTAAGGTATTTATCGCTATACCACGTGTTGGAACGTAAATCTAAACAATGTGAGTTTAAACATTTTTGCGAACTCATTCATCTGTTCGAATTTAGATATTTGGCGGCGAATGACGCGTGCAACATTTGTATTTGTTTATTTCATCTGAATTTTGTATTGACGTTGTATTCAATTGAAGATTATAAGACATTCAGAATATTCCTACTACATGACCTAAAAGATTCTACAGTCTTCTAGGTGGAAACTGCGGAAATGCTATGCGTAAAATTAAAATGGGTGTGATATTATTTTTAGTTTCTTTCAATATCAACATTGCGTATTCCTAAAATATTTCGGTTCAGCACATATGGTGGATCATTGTGGGGTTCAATAGATTAATTCGACCATTTCTTTCTAATTTAGTGCATGCTATTGAACTTTATAGAAGTTATTGAGTGCCCTGATCAGAGTAAATGTCTAAAGTCAAATTTTAGTATTATTAAAATATTAGGCGATATAAAACTTAACGATTCCTTTAGCAAAAGATAATACTTCCTATGCATGGAATAATAATCTTATTTTATCTAAAAATCATTGCCATTGGTTGGTTAGAGTCTTCGAGTCCGTGAACATATTAGTGAGAAAGAAATTGTCATAGTTTAGTTAAACAATTTTGATAGTTGATAGTTTTTAAACAATTTTTGTAGAAGGTCTCATGGGGTGATTACAAAAAAAACATGTGATTATTTGACGCTCTTCAAACAAAACGTAATTTTAGAAAATTGATACTTTGAAATATTGGTACAGTTGGGTACAACTGATTTTGAATTTCTAAAATTTATATTTAAAATTAAATGTTGAAAAGTGTCTCTAATAATTCTTTTTAAATTGAGAGCAGTTGTATTAATACAACTCAACAATTAATACAACAAAATATATCAATACAGTTGTTATGAATCGTTGTTTTAATCTTGTTGTTGTAACTCACTGGGACCTGCTTGTGAAGTCCTTTTGAGAGGTGTCGAACGGTACTTGGTCGTCACAGGCGACGAGTGGTTTCGGGACATAGACTCGGTCGTTCCTGTTTTAATCTTAACTATGTTCACTATTCTCGCTAAACCAGTTAATGTTCCAGAGAAGATAAGGTTCAAGGACTTTGATCAGTAAATCTTCTTTATCTGCACCAGCTCAGTAAATAAACAATTCAAAACAAAAGGATATATAAAGTTATTAATGATTCCTTCTCTTTCTCATGGTAAGTCTTATATAAGTTTTCGGAAAGACGCAACTGTTGTTGTATCGGCGCAATGGCACATTGGCCGTTAGTTTTTCCACTCATACATAAAAACGGTTTTTAGGCTTGTGTGAGTACCAATCATATTCAGATTGATAATAATAATAATTAAAATAAAGGGTTGCTAAACAATATGGGAACCCTAAATAAAATAAATTAAGGTGGTTGTAGTATATTTAAAAATTTTCTTGAAACTTTAAATATATATTGTGTACTCACTATTTGAAGAAAACCTAAATCATTAAAAATAAAATATAAATTAATGAATACGTTTATTACTTGTACGGCTATAAATAAAAACCGTTTAACATAGGATTGTGTTATAAGTAGTTCTGTGATAGTTTTTGACATGTGATTAGTAATATTAAAAAAAAGAACTAAATTACGTTATCCATTAAAAATAATTATCTAATTAGCAAAAAAATCTTATGTATTCAAATTATAATTTAATCATATTTTTAAAAATAAATCTAATTAATTAAACTATAGCAACTTCGAGTAGTTAAGTTAATTAAATGAGTGTTTATAATATGTTAGATTACCTATTCTACAGAAGTTATTTTTTTGGGTTAAAGTTATTAATAATGAATATTAAATTTTCCACCATTTTTTTAATTTTGATAAAAAATTTATTGTGGACTTTTCATGAGGTCTAATTTATTGGAAGATTCCTAATTTATGAAACCATTTAAACTAACGATGTTAAGATGTGCAATGGGTGTTCTCTAAAAAATGTATACAAGTATAAGTATATCTAAAAATTATTTATTTCCTGATTATGGCGGCCTCTTTCAGTCAGATGTTGTCGTCATTATGAAAACTTGCCTTGATGTGGAGGATTTATACATTAAACAGGAATATATTTAAACTATCATACTTACCTTGTAGCTCTTGAGTGTATCCCAAATTCTAGTTAGTATGATTTTTGACTCCTAGGCAGTTGTGAAACGGAAGTTAAAACAGTTCATCATTTCTCTTCTATGTATTAACGGCCTCAGTTCAGTTGCAGGTAACTGGAAAGTAGAATGTGCTATACAGGCGCTATTTTTTATTTGGAATTTCGAAAGCATTAAGCATATTAGTAGTATCATGTAAGCAGTTGTTTAAAACCTTTGAAATTGCTGTATTGAAGAATTTAATATAAAGTAGGAAAAAGAACATATGAGAATATCTGAACTAAAGTGCCTCATGAAAAGGACATTATTTAAAAAACAATGGTAGGAGATTAGGTATTTACTTTAATAATCCTAACAATATCTGTGAAGTGGATAAAAAAAGACGTTTTTGCATGGATTAAATATGACAGGACCTTGCTGCCTAAATGAGTGGTTTTCAATCACTTGTGCATACAATACAATTTTTTTGGAAAATATCGGTCCTTGTAAAACTGGTCCTTGTCGAACGCAGAATATTTTATAAGTCCTTGTAAATTACATTAAATATTTTACCGGTTCATGTTTTGAGCCGAAAATTACTGGTCTAAAGGATGTTAAACAGCTTCAGAACTTCTTCATAAAATCATCTTAGCACCGAAATACGTTTTCAGAAACATTTATCTAGATGATGCCAGTCAGCTATAGAATCTCTTCATAAACAGCAATTAGGCTTTATTAAAAGTTTCACATTGTTTCGAGTTTTATACTATAACACAAAAGGCGTAATCGGATCCAAGTATGATTATTCAAATATACTTAACAATAAAAACTGTAATAATATTTTCTATTATCAAAAGTGATCTGTCAGCGGTGTAATCATATGATATTTACATGTTATTTACATGAAATTGGTATTGTGGTAAGAGTTCAATATAATATAATAAAAAAACATTACTTACATATTTTTAAAGAATATTTATTTAAATACCGGATAAAGGATTTTCAAAAACTGCTAAGCTTTCTTAAATTTTAATTTTTAAATTCTATATTGCATGTAACTTTAAATGATGCTTAAAATTGCTAATTCTTGATAAATTTGCTAATAAATATTAAAATAATATTAAACATTATTAAATTTATTTAATTGTTATTAGAATTTGTTGAAATGCCTTTGCGTTGCATAAGAGGGGACTTTTTTGGTGATTTTGGTATATTAACAATACCAGTTTCGTTTTCTGGTGAAGACGAAGAACCAGCTCCAGAATTACGCCTCGATGATGAAGGCCCTACATTAGTGTCCAAATGTCTAAAACTAAAATATGAAAATGTATTAATTTGAAAACGATAACGGATATTATTATATATGCATACCGTAATGAGACGTTAGTTTTTGGAGCGCCTTCATCATTATTGCTGTTGAAAAGAAACGCCAATGGCCATGATATCCAAGAATTTTGCTCAATTGATGTTTGGGTTCTTATAATGGGATTTCTACCATGTGCTAATACAGCCGGTACTACATCTAATGACTTCTTTGGTGTACCAGCTTTGTTTATAGCAGGATTGTATATTTTTGGATCACTGACCATACGTACGAAAAAAGAGCGTTTCTGTGCAAGAGTATCCATTTTCTTCTTGTTCAAAATTTCAGTCAATTCGTCATGCTGTTCTTTCTCTAATAATTCATTAGCAAAGTCCACAATAACATCCCAAGCGTAATCAATGTCTTCATTGATAGCATTCTGAGCGACGGCACAAAATCTAATAATGTATTTATCATTCACGTTAGCTGGTACCATGTGTATCTTGCCTGACTCATTTATGGCACTTAGTAATTTCTCATTCAATTTATCGCTACCTTTCAAACGAAAACAGACCAGGCCAAGCTAAACAAAAACAAAAAAAAAAACCGAATTATTTAAATTCTAAATTCTTATTTTAGCGGAAAAGTATTTTATTTAATTTATTTAACATCCCAACGGCTTTTAAAAAGATTTTGTTGAGTCACGTTTGTACGTAGTTTCTTAGAAAATAGGATTCACGTATTCGCTTATGGCAAGTGAAGAGAAGAACCGCTTAGTTATACCTGTTTCGTAATATAATTTAACAATACATTTAATAATATAATAATGTCATTGAAGTTAACAATATTTAAGTTTTTGAGTAATTACGCATTTGAGTCAATAAATCTCGTAAGATCATTTAAAATTGAGTCTCAGTCGGTCTACATTAAATCTTTTCTTAAAAGAATGTTTTGACAGCTAAATCAATGGGTTTAAAAATAAATAAAGCCAATTGAAACGTCAATAAGCATGTTTAAATAATGCCCAAGGTAATTCTTTATCAATTAATTTATTTACGTATATATAGGTACCTATGTATATATATGTGTATATAATTTTATACATATAAAATTAGTTATAAATAAGCATTGTTTAGCTAAAATACTCGTAATTATTCTACTTGCGTTATTTTTTATTTACTAATTTGCCAATTAATAAATTGACATCTGTTATTATTACGTTAAGGCTAGTTGAGTCAGTGCACTTAAGTACTTTTACTCTTTGTTAACTGCGAGGTTTCTTCATAACCCCTCTCTACGCCTTGATTGAATTGTTGTTTATCACTTCACTAGACTAAGCATTAATTGACCTCAGATCTACATACCTTCTCGATGAGCGTGTAACCATTCTGAGATTCGTTAACGCGGTGTTGGTAAGTCTGTCAGTTTTTGTAAATAATTTCAAGGCTCTATCCTTTATGTATTTGTCGATCGGATCAATCAAGAATGAGGTCCCTGAGGTTGTCATTCGTTCTAATGTACCATGGTATCTTGAAAAGTCTTCTTAGAGCCTGGCTTTCTGATAGAATATACCATATTGTGTAAAATTAAAGTAAGAAATACTTTAAAGATATAATACTTTAAGATGTAGTCTTAATGCGTTAACATGTTCTATTAAAGCACGAAGATATTACCAACATACATAATTATTACAAAAATTCTATTAATATTTTAACTATCGCATTAAAGAATATCACTAGTCAGCAGGAACTGGCTCAATTAACTAGTACGTTAATTTACTAGTCGTCGTTAGCTCCTTACCATCTTGAAAATATATGTTCATATGAGCAAATGAATGTTACAGCTATTCTTTGTGACTGATTTTAATCTGAGTCAAAAGAAGAATACAAGTACTTGGTTGGGATCTTTGGCACCACTGTATATAATAGATGGAACAAATCTATTGAAATCTTAAATGCAATGCATATCGAAATTTAAGAAAATACTGCATCAAGTTAAATACAGTAACATGAATAAGCAGATGTCAATTTATTTTTATTTTGCAGAAAAAATATAAAAAATATAAGAGTCAACAATTGATTTTTCTATTTATGCATTAGAAGTATATTTAGAATGATGTATATTCCTATCTTAGAATTCATATTGTAAATGCTTTCCAAAACGAATTGCCCATAAACAAATATTCAACTATATATGAAGCCGAATTATTTGCCATCGAACCTGAAAAGAGAGAAAACTAGAGCAACAATCTAGTTAATATCTACTAGTGACTTTATATTCTATCAAAGTTTATTCAGAAATATTGGACAACGCTTCTCAATAAATTTGGACAAACCAACTGTATTATTTTGTGATAGAGCCTGGTTCGTAAAAGACTGGAAATAATTACAGACCTAGTTATCTTCTCAAATAAGAAGAAGAACTTAAATTAATTGGATCTGAACCATACTATACTCTAGTTAGTGGACACATAATGTATCAAATCAGACACTGGAAATACTCTCAATTTTATAACTACTGGATATAAAATTTTGGAATGACTGGGAATAAGGTAGAGAGTGATGACATATAATGCAGCTTTAAATATACTTGAACGCTAAGTAGAGAGAATATCAGATTATCTCATCGGTTTTCTGACAAAGTACTTTAGGTTGGGGTACTATATCAACAAAATGGGCGTACCAGAAACCAGTACTTTTGTAAAATAAATACTGAAAGTCTGAGCACATTCTCTGTGAATGCTCTTACTCGTATGTGGGGCAGACTAATTGCTATTTTGAATATTTGAAACAATAAAAACTGGTTAATGCTCAAGTGCATTAATGGTCTAATAATTGGTTAAAACTGTTAAGGTTAGTACAATAGACCGTAATAGAACAATATACTCTATTTTTTTAGTAAAAATGTATGCAAACGTAATAATTTAAAACAAAAATTTTTTTTTCAAAGGAATAAGTTCGTTTTTAATTATCTAAACTTTTTTTCTGAGAATAAAATTTAACATTTTTCGGAATAACTTAACTTTTACGTTTCTCTGAATTGAGAAAAGAATACCCGAAATTGATTTACATTATTGCTTTTGAATGGTTTCAAAGTAGTTTAGAGTTGGTAGCATTCGACCTTGAGAGAGGTACTAAAACTCGTGCTTTAGTTCTATATAATATAGCTAAAACTAATTTGTTTTTTTTTTTTAATAATTTCTCAGTGTGAAATAATTCCTAAAGATATAACTGAAGATTCATATATTTTGCAATATTTTGCATAGTAATCAGTGAGTCTGTGTCAACAATGACTTTTAAGTGTCCCAGTAGTACAATAAATCTAAAAAATGTTTAATAAAAAATTATTATTATTTATTTGTGTATGTATAAACATATAAAATATCTGTGTATATGCAGTATTTACAAAATTTAAGTTCACTAGTGTATGAATACCAGTACTTTAAGTAGCTGTGAACATATCACTCAAGTCAAGTGGACATATGTTAACAAAAAATAAAAATACTTATTTTTTGCATAAATAAAAATATATTTTTTAATACTGCAAAATGAAAAAGTCAAATCATAATTTGACAAAATAAAAAAAATTAACAAATAAATAAAAATAAGAAAACAAATCAATCAACCATTTCAAGTAAACACTTAAATCTCACCATACGAAAGACTCGGAAGGCTCAACTTCATATGAGTTTAATTTGCTGTGTATTTTTTAATATTGACTTGTTAAACTAAGGAAAGGTTCATGGATCTGATCGTACAACTAATTTAAATAATAGTAAATGCGTATGCATTGCCTACAATTTCTAACTTTATAGATAATTAAAGTTTATGACAATCACTTTAAAATGAAAGGAATATTACTGAGAGAACACCAAAATGTTCGTACAGAGAATTTTGGTTCGTCTTGGATTTTAAAAATTTTACCATTGAAATGTTGATATGTGTAATGTGAATTTCATATAAAAGAATTTATTGAATGTAGATTAGGACGAGAATAAATAACCTCTTTCAATAATATAGCAATTTTTTGCCTAAAAGATGAATTATTATAAACTAAAATTCCATCATGTGTTTCTGGTGATCAAATATATTTAGAATCTTAAGCAGTAATATAAAATAAAATTATTTTAACAACCCAGATGTAAGACATTCATATCAGCAACAAAACAACTTCAAATTTTTCAAAATGTCACACTTCGCAGAATAATGAGACCCTGAAGAGTTTTAACAAATTGCAATAAAACAAGAGATAGAATAGTTAAACTCTTTCATGAGAAAACATATCAATCAGTAAACACTTAAATTTCAACATTTGAAAGATTCGTACTACAGAACTTTGTTCATGTTAAGTCATTTTCGAGTTAGTCCATCTGGGTACTTTTACTCTTTAATAGCTCGGGGGTTTCTGCAGAGTTCCACCCTTCTGACTGACTGATTTTTATATACCTCAAAAAATTCGTGATTATTCGTTGGTTGATCTAAGATCTGTTAGAGATTATTCTGAGATTAGATGGTGCTAAGTAGGGCAGCCTGTCGGTTTTCACGATTAGCTTCAGGGCTTTGTATGAGATACGACTAAATTGTTTAAGAAAACAATCTCAAGGTGACACTGAAGCAACAGAACACTTATAAGAGAAATATTAATATAATACGTCAATATATAAAAAGAAGTAAGATTTCTATATGTAGATGTAGACACACTAACGTTAACATACCGTCATATGCAGTTCAAGTATAGCAATTTTTTTTTTAACTTTTGAAGTTAATCCTACTGCTTCAGATATACTTTTTTAAATGTATATCACTGCTTAGTAGGTTATAGGTAGGTCGAGATGATTAGCAAAATGTGAAATATGTCCATCAATCTGACCTTACAGTAAGATTCAATACTCGGAACTCATTTACAGAGACTATGTTAATGCTTCTGGCTTAACTACAATTTTTTGAGTCTACTGGTATATCGGAACTTTTACAGAAAAACTACACATTCCTTTTAACAATGATTATAGCAGTTGTGGAAATTTATATAAAAAAGAAACGAATATGTGATTGCCCACTTATGGTTTCCAGCAGGAGCAGTCTTTAAGGATTGATTATCTGTAAGCAGAAAAACCTGTTCAACTACATAAGCTTTATACGAGGGTTGTAGTGTTGTTCGTCAAGGTTTCTTGCGATAAATTTAGTTTCAGAACGACGACTTCTCGCGAATTATAGAAAGCGGCGAAGGGTATCTGCTAACCAAATAATTTCAAATCAACTCTATTGATTTTAGATGTTTGCAGTCTATTAAGCTATCTTTCAATATTTTCTCTTATTAGGATATTTGCATTCCTTTTTTTTCAATTCAAGTGTATTAACCTCTTAAAAAATTTTGGAAAAACATGCATCCCACGATTAATCAATTAATTTTTATAATTTGTTGCTCGCATTTTGCCGAATTCGTTTTTATTTTGAATTGTAAGAATAATTTGAATGTAAACAATATTTTGAAAAGTTTTTACCTTGACTTCATTACAAATCTCAAATCGTTTATCTTTAAGCACATGCTGCTCAAAACGTTTGGCCAGTTCGATATGATGTCTTATGTAGCTTTGTAATCCGGAAATACCATATGAACGTAAGACAAACCTTAAAAGATATTAAGTTTTTTATAATGAGTTTTTTTATAATTTATAAAATAAAACTTAAGTGTTATTTTTAAATTTAAGATGCTTTTTGTTCACACTTCATAAATAACTATTAGTATTTTTTTGCTAATTATAATTATCGTTACTTGTATCTCAATCATTACTGTGGCTTATATTGTCTCTATTGTGCTCCAAGTGTCAAAACACAAACATACGCTTACATACGTTACTATATAACTATATAACGTACCATAACTTTAATGAACGAAAACGCCGACTGAGTGGAACTCCCCAGTGACGGTAGTCAATAGCTGTTTCCGAATAGCCATGTTTCAGATACAATGGATCCACAACCAAAGCTGATGTCAAGCGGATTCTGTCGCGCACCCACAAAGTCGAGCAATCGAAATTTGTTAACAGCCATTTGTTGGAGTTTGTATTGAATGAATCAGCATATTCGATGCCCTGTTACGAGTTCACAGCAAAGTTGAACAGAAAGAAAGTTAAAACTTTTTATTATTTTTTTTGCATTTGTTTTTACGTAATTATTTTTAATTTTTTTTTGTTTTTTATACGGTAATTTAATTGTGCTTCACAATTTAAAGGTATATGACCTAGACTTACCTTAAGTAACGGCTTCAGCTCCGGGCAAATAAAAGCATTACCTGCATAAGCTCCATCTACATGCAACCAAACACAGGGAAATTTTTGTATTTCCTTTCCAATCTCTGGCAAGTTATCAAAAGCGCATGAACCTGTTGTACCCAATGTTGTAGAAACATAAAAAGGTACTAAACCCTGGAGTTCATCTTCTTCCATAGCCTTTCAATAATCAAAGCAATAATTCTAAAAACTTTTTCTATAAATTCAATTGTTTTACTTCTGCTAAAACGTGTCCTCTGAGGCTAGCATTTTCATCGGGTTCCAAAATTCGCAGTTTAACAAAACATATCATAGCAGCCTTTTCAACACAACTATGTGCTTCCTTAGAACAGTATGCCATTAATTTAGATAGCAGATGACCCTCTTCTACAAATGGATGCTGCGATTTCAAACGTTTTAGTGCTTGAGCACGTGCCGCTAACATTGTTACTAATATACATTCAGAAGCTGAGGTCTTTGAAAATAAATATGAGAGTTAAACAATCAATACAGATTGTAGTTAGGTTGTGGAATAGTACCTGTATCACTCCACCACCTGTGCTACCTTCTTTCAAAGCTAAAAAATGATCAGGCAAACCGATTGCTTTGCCTTAGATATAACAGACATATTTTTAACATATTCAATATTTATGTATTAAGTAAATATTTTGCTTACCTAACCAATCAAGTACAATTGTTTCGAGCTCTGTACAAGCAGGACTTGCAGCCCATGAAAATCCAATACAACCAATACCATCACTAAGCATATCACCTAAAATAGATGGAAATGAATTTCCCGAGGGAAAATATGCATGAAATCGTGGATGTTGCCAATGTGTAACACCAGGCATTATTTTATCCTCAACATCAGCCATGATTTTTTCCCAACATTCTGGATTTTTTGGAGCCTCCGCTTTAAGTAATAATTTTAAAACAAATTTTTTTTTAATATTACGATGGTTACATTAATATTATGAGTTTAAAACATAAATTGTATATATTTTTGAAAGACATCATATACAATGTGAGATTAAAAACAAACTATAATTTTTAACTTTTAAAAACAGTATTTATTTATTGATCAATTACTATATTTTCTCCAGTATAGACTCCTTTTCGATTTTATGTACTTAAGCCACCGCAGTTTCTAGTTTAGGTTTCGTCTTGAGTTTGTTCTAAAAGTGTGTTCGCTCATATATAGTTGAAATATGTTGTCTTTTGGGAATAGATTGGTTGGGGTATTACAGTGATTATGATAAATCAGCATAAGCGGTTGACTAAGAAAACATTTTTCGAAACAAATTCATATCCAAAACAATTTAAAAAATCGCTTCCTACATAAGATTTTTGCAGCAAACTCTCTAATGGCAATTCTTATAGTTCAAATATACCTATATTGGTTAAAATGTTTTCTATATTTTTCTATTAGGTGGACCCAAACTTGCTTTATGTTAAGTTTTTTGTTAACCCTTCTGATGCATTTGTATTACTTCCTAAATCGTGGTTGGAATATTCTTACTTTTTAATCACACCAGATACATTTATTAGGGTTAATAATAATATATATTACATATAACTTTTGAGAAACTGTTTACTAATATGCTTTAGATTTAAATGGTATCGGGAAATAACTAAAAATCAATATATGATTATGATTAATTTTGATTCACATAAAGAAATTACATATATTAAAAATTAGTTATGTTGAAAATTTCCAAGTCGTGTTTTAAAAAAATTTATTTATCTTAGCGAAATACATTAGTATATATCGTATGTGATAAAGAAAATAAAGACTTGGCTTTAAGAAGCTATCGTACTCGAAACTGTAGTTTCTTAAGGATGACGTGGTTTATTTTCATAGTACCATATTTTTAATACTTCTTTTAGATAAAAAGATCTAATCTAATCGATGTATATTATTACACCGATGTAAATGTAAAACAATATTTAATTTTTTGAACTTTTTAAAAAGAATTCTTAATTGATTATTTTATGTATAATTTTACTTTTACTATATTACTTCGCATATTATAATTAAAAATGATCACATTTAATTTATGTATTTCCTTTGTTTGTTAAGTGAAAGTATTTCCTTCTTAATGATTCAATAATTTCAAACTAAAGTTTATAGTTATCAATTTAAAATAAAAATCCAAATTTAAATTTCCTATTACTTACTTGGTAATAAATGTCTTAAATATCCTGGTTCAACACTTGGAGTAACCCGTCTATCCTCTAAGGTATCTAAGTATTTGCAGATGTATTCAACCATTTCGGTTCCGCGTTTTCGAAATTCCTCGCTATTCATTTCGATGATATATAATTAAGATGTTCCGTTTAAGATACTATTGCGTCTATTTTTAATTAATTATATAAATAAAAGTGATTAATTATTGTTTGGTTTAAAATTTTTATTTATTTATTTTTGCATTTAGTTTTTATGTTTGTTTATTTTTTTTTTTTTTGTTGGTTAGTTTTTTCCACAAAAATGTAAAACTTTTTAAATAAATTTTACGAACTTTAGAACTCGCAGCTGTTTAAAACCCTTAAAATTAGTTGATCTATGAATAACCCCAGAACAAAACTCTAATGGTTTTTTTATTTTTTATATGAAATAATTATTATATTTGTCATAAAACCATTTAACCAGTTTTAGTATTATATTATATATAGTTTTTATTTAATAAAATTTTAAAATAATAGAGTTTTCTATCAAATTTTTAAAAATGTTTATTTTTTAATAACTAAATTAAATACATTTAATTTAATTGTGTCAAAAAAATTCTATATTCATATTATTTATTATATAAAATATTTATATGATTTATTTTTTATTAATATTAATATAATATAAATATTAATAAAAACTGAATAATAAATTAAACACAATTTTGTTGTATTTATAAACAGACAATTATATTATTATAAACTATATTTTTATAGAGAGTTATTGTTACAGATTACACTTATAAATAAAATAGATATGTTAAATTATTATCATAATATTGACTATTTTTTAATACACTAATATTAAAAATTACCATAAAATTGTATTAAATTATATATTATTAAGATTTATAACACATTATTAATTTCAAATGAAGCAAAAATAAATATGTAATCATCTGTTAATAACTAAAATTCTTAAAACAATAAAAGTTAAAAATTATGTATCAAAAAAATAATTTAAAAAAAATGATTGAAGTAATAATTAAAAAAAAAATCACAAAAAAAAGTTAACTAAAATAAATAATACAATAAAGTAAAATATTTAAAAAATACTCAAAAAAATTAACATAGCCAATATTTATTTTTATATCTTCCATAAATTTTAAAATTAACTTTAAGTTATGTTTATTTTTTATAATTAAAACATGTAGTTGTATATGGAAAATTTTTATTCATTACACAGTTCTTTTTTATTTTAATTTAATTTTGACTTTAAATTGTATTAAACTTTATTTTCAGTATTAACAAAGTATATTTATTTAATTATTATATTTAAATTATATTTTATATATAAAAAATTAATACATTTAAATGTATTTAAAATTTTAAATTGAGAAGAACTTTTAATTAATTTTTTGATTTTTATTTTAGTAAAATAAATTTTTTATTATTGTTTGTATTAAGTGTTTTTTTTTATCTAACGTTCACTTTCAATTTTAAACATATATCATTTGGTTATAATATGAATATAATACAATTATATATTGTATTCACTTTCAATTTTAAACATATATCATTTGGTTATAATATGAATTCTTTTATATAATATAATTTTTATTATGTATAAATTTAGTTATTAAATATTAATAAATAAATAAAATTTGTTTTATTTAATATCAATTTATTTGCGGTATTAAAATTTTTTTTAAATTTTAATTATGATGTTCAAAGTTCAAATTTAAATTAAATATAGAGGGAGTCTTGTAAATTTTATTAAAATGTTTTAATGTATGATTAGTTTGTTCATGAAATTCATGAAATTATTCACTTAATTTTTTAAATCAAAATAAAAATTAATTTTTTCTATCTTATTTCATTTTATATATATTTTTCAATATTTTTTTGCAAGTCTAATTTTATAATGTTATAAGTAATAATTTAAAAATTAATTTTTTCTTTTTAAGATTCACTTTTATTTTAATTTACTAGAAATAATAACTTTTATTATTTATTACTTTTATTAGTAATTTTTTTCATACATTTTTTTACAAAATTAAAAAATCAAATTTTTCAAATTTATTTTTAATTATTAATTTTAATTCTAACTAAAATTACTATATAGTTATGTTTAAGGTACCCTACTAAATTTTTTTCTGTTTAAGTTATTTGTAAAATTTTATAATATTTTTATTATTGTTCTACATTTATGTGGCTTTAAATTTAACATTAAAATTATATATAGTTTATGAGTTTACATTTGAAATAACTAAAATATTTTATGATTATTTTTTATTTCTTTTTTGTTTAGATTATCTTTACTGTAATTTGGTTTATAAAATTACTTTAAATATGTTTAATACACTTGTTCAAGCACATTTTCTTCGATTTTTTCCTTGTTTTCTGTATATCCATTTTGTTTATATTATATAAACATATTAAAATTATATTTAAATTTTATAAATATAAGTATTTTTAATTTTTTCCATGCTCACGAGTTATTTTTAAATTAAAATTATTAATTTAATTTATTTTTAGTGTTTAAATTTTCATGTTATTCATTAATCACGCATTTTATTTTTTAAATTTCATTTATTTCCATATATAAACTTACTGTTTTTAATTATATTTGGAGCAATAGGTCTAATTGAGACAATGTTTTAGCTCGGATAACCGTTTACAATGTAATTCCAACCGCAACTGATCTTTCACTGTCATTTCACCCATAAAATAACCTCGGTATTTGTATGTGTTGGAATTCGTAAAGGCATTTCTTAGTCCCACCATTCTTAACAAGTTTTCTAACACCATAATCCCACTCCCAATTCCAACCACCCAATTATATTTTCACATTTGAACTTCTTCATCACTTGAAAAAGTCATTGCAAGAGAAAATAAGTGAAATATTTGCGTCGCTGCCACCTTCTGTTTTAATTTAGTTATATATATATATATATCTGAAGATGTGTATTTATCTATATTTGTAGAAATATATAAATAAGGAAATATAAATGTATGTCATATTTAACATTCATTCAACAATGCTTTATAGCACTGTTTGAAGTACGAGTTTTGTTAGGTCTTGAATAAAAGGAATCCACATTTTTCTCTACTTTTAAAGCTCGCCAGTATAATTTCGTATCCGTGAGGATATTTTTCACCAATAAAAAACAATCATCATAGTTGGCAAGCGCGTGAAGCACAAGCATCCTTGTTCCATTGTTAACAGTTATTAGGGGTAACTTATACTGGCTGGGAAGTATATAAGAAGAATATTTTGATGAAATTGTTTTTAAATAAATATCGTACAGTGCAAAAACAGAAAAATACAGTTGCTTCGAAATCTTAAATATATTTTTTCATTTCATTTTTTTTGCCTTATATAGTAAATAATAAAATAAATATAAACATCACGTTTACTAAATAAAACTAATATAATCTATAGTACGTAAACTTGTTCGCTCCGTTTTTGAAGGTTGGAGTAAACGTATATCTATTGCAGGAAGAAAAAATAGTATTTTACGATATGCAGATGACCTATTAATTATGGACTCAGCAAAACAAACTTCTGTTATTAAAATTCGGTTCAACAGTTGATGGCCTAAAAATCGACAAGACCAAAGTGAAAGTCACGTTATTTGACTGATTAAGTAATAGCTTACAAAATGTGGCAAAGAATATTGGCTACGTTGTAGTTTAACTGTGAAGTAGGCTCCCCCACTACCTTTACCAGTGTTATAAGTCATTTTAACGTTGCCTCTCTTTTTGTATCGACCTTTACGCAAATGATGGCAATTGTGAGATTGTTTGTCAGCCAATTTTCTTCTATCTTATTCTTAAACTTATATATATTTTGAGTGACAGACCGATGAAATAAGTATATTACATTTGTTAACAATTGCATGATATCTTAAACTTAATATCAACATGAAAACCAATAACCTGAATTATAAAATTCAAAAGAAACTTAATTATTTATATATTACTGTCTTGAGATTTAAATCAAAAAATTTTTTAAAGATTTGAGGAATTCACTTCCTGCTATTTAACTGTTCCATTAAATGGAATATATAGTTCGAAACATTAATAATCAATAATAAAAATTCAATGATAATCCCAATTTCTTAATAGATCATTATTTATAACAGCCTACAGCCGGAAGTTTCGAAAAAATTAAACGTCATATACCCATGGCAATATTTGACATAACAAAATATACAAAAAATTTGAAAAGCTAAAGTTTTGATTAGTAAATGGAGTGGTGCTCTCTATGGCTACCTATGCAGCTAAAATGTGGACTAACAATAATTTCGGTAAACAGAAGAGCGAAATCCTTGATATGTGGGTATATTGAACAGTGTTAAGAAATCCATTGAGTATACACAAACTCCAATATATATCTGGTTTCTTTGATTAGATGACGAGTCTAGTGTTTGAAGCTTAGTAAATTTTATGCTGGGTACAGTACATGAAAGTATAAAACTGGAAATATCGTTTATTCGATAAGTGCATATTTTATATATACATTGCTTAGAAAATCAATAAAGTAATATGCGTAAAGCAAGATCGTTCAAAATGGTCCACCGCATTCAATGATATGCATTTATAAAACGTTATTGCGAAATAACAAGAGAAAAAGTCTAGAACGCGAAGAGAATATAAGCTTTAGACGAGGTTATAGCTATTGAAATGGGTATTATGTGGTAATAATCTTACTAAAAGTGTGGTCAAAATTATTTTTTATAATATAAAGAAAGTCTATGTGGCATTATCCCAATTCTACACACATTAGAAAGAGTAATCACAATCACATTAAAATCTGTATTTTCATGAAAAATATTATTTATATATATCTGATTATTTAGAAAATAAATTCATGTTTTTCCTAAAAGAAAAATAAAATCTTAAATGTACACAAATTTGCATCAAAGCTGCATTTGTTGTTTTATATTTTGCCAAATGATATATTCTAACAAGATTTATTACTTATATAGTTTGGTCAGTTTCATGAAATAGTTTTTATTTGGCGCTTTATCAAATATTGCAAGATATTAGCACTACTATTCGATATATTTTGCCTTTTTATTATTGATGTATTAATATCAATACATGGTGGTGTTTGTGATGATCATTTGTAACATCTAAAGCATCTGGGTATACCGTTGACATTCTACAAACAGTTGTTAAAATATTTTCTTTATAGGAAGAGCAATTTAATATAAAGCGGTTCGATTCATTGATATGCAGGCACCTGTATGCAAACTAGAAAATTCTAATGATGTTATTTAGATGGTCCGTAAAGATATCAGTCTTGTGGTAGTTTAATTGACGGATCACAGCCGTCATGTTAGGGAATCATGTTAAAATATTGAAACTACCGTTTGATCATTCCGTTTTGTTACTGTCCAGCGCAAGCTCGGCTTCAATTGAAAATGCTCTGGACTTATGTTTTTGAGGATATTTTTAAGTAATATTTTAAACTTTACCAAAGCTCTAGATAGTTTTTAGGCTTCAAAGTTATTACACGGCAACACAATGGGCCTAAGTGGATCCTTATACCAATTAGCCGATATAACTTAACCTAACCTATTTGTTTAGAAAGTCGTCAAGCTCAACAAACACGTGTCACATTATTAACTGTCATTACAAACATACATACACACTGTCATTACAAACAAGCCATACAGAATTTTTGTATCTAAAGACAGACACAAGATAAAGAAATGGAAATGTATCTGAATAAGATACAAGGTACAGCTATTTGTACTTAGATAAATTATCTATATACTTCTAACTAGCTATACTATAGCACTTCAGGTATTATATACGGCCTATTAAGACCAACAAATATAATAAAAAGACATCTTAGAATGAAAATTTAATTAAAATAATTATTTTTTGTATAAAATCATTTAATTCAATTTTTTATTCATTCAATTTCATTTCAATTTTAATTTAATTGCTCGCAAGTCAATATTTCTGCATGCCATACGCATACGCACTTATGTCTTTAGGAATGTTTAGTAAATTTTTTTTTTAACGATATAACATCCTATATTTTTCCCAGGGTTCGCCCACAGAAAAATAGCACACACATTGTGTTAAGGACTAAAAATAAAATTAAAGAAAAACGTGCTCTCAAACGTTCGATATTTCCTGCTTGTGGCTGCTGTATTGAGCCCATCTAGTATTCCAACAACCATAACAACAACAACAATAATAATAACAACAATAATGAAAATAAAATCGAAAACATAAATGCGAACCGACTTGAAGGGTTTTTATTAATCATTTAACCACAAATTGAGTTATTGTTTGGAGTATTGACTGCGATGATGGCGTTAATAGTGTTGTTGGTGTCAACAATGCGAATGATGTGAGGGATTCCGAAGCATTCCTTCATAGGAAGAACATAGAATTCTTGTCTATTTTTTTCTGCAATCTTCATATCTTAATGTTCCTGCAAAAAATTGATGTGGATGACACGTCCTTGTACGCATATTTACTTTTGCTTATAAGTATATAACGTATATATATGTATCTATAAAAATATTTGAAGCAACCTCGATTCATTCTATTTATATTTCGTTCTAGCTACGTACTAGCATACTTGTGTATCAGTAATAATTATTCTAATAAAAATTAAATTATATTTTTTAATAAGTGTTTCTATATAGGAAGGTCATGTTAAAATATATATAAATATTTAAATATATTTATTTATATGTTTTTATTTGATATGTAGGACTAATTTTTCAAAATCATGTCCTTACTAAAGGTCATGGCCACTTTGGCACTCAGAGTAAAAGGTTTTTAAGTCGATATTGTAACTTAACTTAAAATTACTTAAAATAATAAAACCGGGTTTAACTGTTCCCCTACGTTGAACAACATAAGTCCATATGAGTTTTCAGATATTTTTGTAAATAATAAAAATATTTAACGTTGATTTTTTTGTCGATTGTGACGCGTTACTTATGACGAAAATAAACTATAACGCTTCGAACAGTAAGGAAGAAACAACAACAAAAATTTATTTAATTTATTGAAATTTGCAAAGTAGTCCGTATATTTATTTTTTTAGTCAGTTTAGATTACCACCTTTTAGATTAAAACCACCTTTTATGATTGATTTGTAAAAGATATATAGCACTCAATTTGTGAAGGGATTCTGGGATTCCATTGTGCTGTTAATGCCATTCAGATATTTTAGTTTTTAGCCTTAATATTTCCAAAAAAAAATTATTTCTCATTACATCAAAACCATTGAAAGCCACATTGTGCAACTCTAATAAATTAAAACCATCTTTTAGGATTGATCTTTTAAAGATACATAGCAATGTATATACATAGGTCCACCGTGTTGTTAATCCCATACAGATATTATACAAATCTGTTTTTTATTTTGGATATTTTGTGAAAAAGATGAGATCTTTTGGAAGAGGTGAAAAATTGAATAAATTTTTGTTAATATAGTTTATTACTGTTCAATCTTTTTAACATAATTATAAATATAGTTCGTTTCATCAAATATGACTACAAAATTAAATTTATTTTTCTAAAGATTAAAAAAATATTGTGCTGGTTTACGATTTTCTTTGTGTTCATAGTATAACATTTACATAACTTCTCTGAATTAATAAGAACCAAAAAATATATTCATAAGTTAAGCTGCGATCTTTAAGAACTAATAAGAGATTGCCATCTTTTCAAAACTTGAAGGATACTTACTCAGGTTGAATTGATCAGAATCTTACATATTTAAGCCAATCATTCACATATAAGCTTAGCATATCTTGAACTTTAATGAAGGCTTTATTATCGAGATTCTTAAGTTGTTGCCTATATGCTCATCTCCACACAGTTTTAATGTGAATACTGCTAAAGTGGAGTTATTCTCATCACTTGGTTCTTATACTTTAGAAATGATTAAAAATCAAGTATGGCTGCAATATAAATATAAATCAAAATATTTAGTTAAATCGATTCTTGGGATAAGAAAATAGTCTAAATTGCTAAGGAACCTTTAAGCACTGAACCTTTAAATCATCTTTTGGAAAACATAAAGAAAACTCAAGAGACTCTAAAGTTTTTGTGAGAATCTATAATAGTTTTTATTTTTATATTCTAACATATTTCATGTGTTTTTTTACTTTTTTTCTAACATTTAAAAAATAACTTTTTAATACATTATTTATATATATAGTTTTTATATTTCACTGAAAGAAAATATTCCCTGCAAGAAAATATTTTGGTTTAAATAAAACGAATTTCATAGTCGTTTAGTTTTTGTAGTTTGCATTTGTAACTAAACCGTTGACCTAAATTACTTCATCTTCCAACTAACACAATTATCTTTTAATTATTGAAAAGGCTTTAAAACTACTTAGCTGGTCGACACAGACAACTGTGATACGGTAGATACCTTTTTAGTTTTAATAAGTTTTTACTTCAGGTTAAATGTTTGAATTTGAATATTTGAATTGAATACTTTAAGTTCCGATTTTAAAGTCGTAACTTAATTCAAAATACTAATTTAAATCAAAATACTACTTACTAACGCATAAATCTATGAACCCATTGCTTAATATAAAAAAAAAGTTGTGCTATTGCGCACCCAGTACACACCGTGCATAGTGCCCTCAGACCAGTATTCAGAACTTAATTTGGAGGGACTATAAGATAATTAAAGCAATTTAATAAAAAAAAGTACCCTTTTAAATAGTTATGATGCATTAATACTACACTCACATACATCGAAGAAGGAAGCTTCAGTCCGTATAACCCAAGGTACTAACAGTAACTTAAACTATTTAAATTCAAGCAGTTTTATTTATTGGAATACTTAAATGATTTGTGTCCTGGTTATATTAAGTAACGAACAAAGGTGGTTCGTTCACGCCTAGTTCTTCTTCAAATTTAATTAACTAATTTTTTAAGTCCATAGCTCACTCGACATCGCTTTCTTGATTTTGATTTCCTTCCAAAATCATATTACAAATGAAAAATAAAATAAAACGTTATTTCTTTCTCCTTAATTAAATTGAAATAATAGAATCTTATAAATGGAAATTTATTTAAAGTTTTTTCTCTTATATTGTTTATTTAGATAATCACCCAAGATGATGCACTATCGTAAAGGTGATAATATTGCTAAAGAAACCAAAAAGGAAGAGTTACCTTTTAAAGATTGTTTACCTAAAGGCCAGGAAAACTTTCTATGGATGCATGTATATATAAAATTGCACAATAAATTTTTAGTACTTTCTACAAAATATTATTGGTTTAGGTTAATGGTGGCACTAAAGTGAATAATGTCATAACCTATGCTAAAAATGCACTTGATAAAGGAGAATATCGTACTATTGTTTGGAGCGGCCATGGTGGTGGTGTCGTTAAAACAGTATCCTGCGCAGAAATTATAAAACGTACTCATCCACTTTATCAGGTGACACGTATGGATTATAAAATGTGTGTAGTATATTTTTAAAAATATATTTATATTAATAATTGAATGATATTTAGCACTGAAGAGCATTGGTTGCCAATAATGGATAATCTAGAAGAGATTGTGGTAACCAGAAAAGTACCCGCCATACATATACTAATGAGTTTGGAAGCTATTAACGATGTTGAAGGGTAAATAATACTGTATTTTTAAAAATGTTTATATCTTTAAAAAACAATTTTAATTAGTGTTCAAAAACCAAATACAAAAACCGATTATTGGGACCCTCCAGGTCCTTCGAATAGTAGAGGTTTTAATCAAAGAAATGGTACACGTCGTCAGAACCAACAATATCATGGACAACGGCAGCGAAAATTTAAAAGAAAAGAGAATCAACAGAAAGAAGATGCCGATGAAAATGTGGTTCAACATGATAGAAACCAAAAGAGAAAGCATAAAAAGTCAGAAGGTAACTCTGATAATAGAGAAAATAAGAAAACCACCGAACCGAAGAATACTTAGAATATTTCAGCAAGTAATATAAAATCTATATGCATTTTTTTAAATATTCAATATATAAATAATATAAATATTTTTTGTGTTTAAATGCAAGTAGAAAAATAACAAAAATAAATAATTTTTTTAATCAACAATTACTAAATTCATTTGTTTAATTATGAGGCTCATAACATTTAACAATATCTAGATCAATCTCATAAACTTCCGTGTGATTAACTCCCGTCTTATTTTTTAAATAATTATAAATTATTCTATATAGTTTTTTCGAGTATTTATTGTTCATTACATGTTTCAGTAGTTTTTGTTGATCATTTTATTAGCTTATAAAATTTAAATATATATATATTAATAAATACGTTTCTTATAATGAATAATCGCCGGTAAATAAAAGAACAAAAAATTTACTAAGAAAAAGGAAGTTGGTGAATCACAATTATAAAAATCGTGACATTTAAATTGAAACAAATTTTTAATAAGAAGCTAACATAATGTGATATATATGAAGTTAATAATTTGTAACATAATTTATTCACAATCAAAGTATTTGATTTTTGTATTAAATGCTAAAATGAATGATACTTATATTCGAATCATAATTTTAGAAATTGTTATATGTATATACCAAAAACTGTTTACAGAATTAATTTTTGTCATTTAATGCTATGCAGATTGTAGTGTTTTTTTTATTTTTTTGTTTGAAAAAACACGCTGCATCTGTTTAATGTGTAGTTAACTTTTCGGGTCTAGATTTGTAGTGAAACTTTCATTTTTGTAAATTGAATATTATAATAAATGGTACATGTTACTACTCTAAACTATTTTTTATTACTTAGCTGTGAACATGTCTACATGTTTAACTTTTACATGATTGGAATATAAACATTTAGGCTTCACTTTCACCTGGTGTTGTATTTTCCTCTTCATTAATTGGTACAATTAAATTTTCTTTCGACATGAGATTGTATTTAGTTACAAAATGCGTAAAACGATGGCAAAGGTATGTTTCAGCCTCGAACTCATCGAATATCCTCCTATGATGAAAATACGCATGCGAAAAAATTCTATAAACCCGTCGACATACAGAGCCCAGTTTAGTAACGGATGACTCTTTTATTGAAACCCTATTAATAAAAATTTGATTAATTTTCTATTAAAAAAAACGAGAGGTTAAAAATTAAACTTTACCTGCTTGGAAAGTATTTATTGCTATTCAAGAGACATGCAGCACCATCTAAAGTATGCCGCGTATAATCAATGGCGGGGCATTCTTTCGGGGTCTTGTGCGCGGCACACAGAAATATCCATTGATCGGTTGCAGTCATTTGCGTACATGTCGTGGGTGAGCACTGTTTTTGCAAACGAACTGCAAGTCCATTTAGTTCCATGCAAAATTGTCTATGACAAATAAATAAAAAGTAATTATATTAGTTAATAAGCATTCATTGTTTCATCAAAAAAATTGTTTTTCAGTCTATTTAATTGAAACGAATTAAAATGTTCCCCCCATATTCAAATGTGACATTTGCTTTAATTAAGCATTTGTAACAGAATAAATGTGCCTTTATAATTATAACATTCTAATTGTATTCAACTAATCAAGTTTCAATTTTTTAATTTATATATTCTATATTTACCGTAGATGTTCGTATTTCCAAACACCTTCATCTTGAGCCTCTGGCATTGTCAATATTAATTCCACATTAGATGGATCTCTCTTTATCAATTGTTGTATATATTGTTGCACTGCTAGTGTGCTATCCATTTCTTCTAAGGGTTCATCGGGCCACCTACAAAAGTCCTAAAAGCGAGAAAGTCGTATTCATTTTATTGCATTTACTGACGCAACTAATTTACCTTCGCCTTTGTTCCTGGTCTATTTCTCCTTAATATTGTACCGTCAGCCATCTTCATTTTCTTGTTTTTCAATGCAGTTTAACTCTAATATCGTATCGAGATATCACAACACGAAATTATTATTATGATTTTACTCTATTTATAAAATAATTTATGAACAAAATAATAAAAATGTATTAAACGAAGACTATCATTTCCCCTTATTTTCTCGCTTTTTGTGCTCTGTTTCTTTTGAAAAATTTTTGACAATTTGTGAATGTATGCTGTAATAGCGCTGCCAATCATTTCATATTTTCTAAATGCTGACTTACCAACTTCAGGTATGAAAGTGTTAGTTTTAAATTAGCGTGAAATTAAAAATACCAAATAACTAAATTTTTTAAACAAATTTTGAGGGCGTAATTTTTTTATGGTTGGTGTCAGTTGATAGTTAACCTGTAAATTTAAATTCTATTTTTAAGGTATTATAGCAACGTTTAAAAGCAATGTTTGTTACTAAAATTGAAAAACTGTTTATATAATAGATGCTTTCAGCAGCTTTTGAGTGTGGCAAAAAAAGTAAGTGGCTTATTATAGACGCTAAGCGAGATGTTGCCATCGCTTTCACAGTTTGTCAAATATTGTTTTCGAAAAGAGCTAGCATCTATGCGCACAATGCAAGCAAATTACATTGTATACATAACTAAAGCATGATATAGACGATGAAATTTGTTTGCAAACAAGGTTTGCTGGCTATCAAATTGCATCGTCTATACTCAAGTTTGCAAACCAAAATTTGGTTTGCAAACTAGTTTGCAGTGAAATTAAAATTTTTCAATTATTTGTTAAGTTTGCAAACATGTTTACTTGTGTATATCGAAGTTTGCAAACTTCTCATAATTTAAGAATTTTGATGAGCGTCGGACAAGCAAAGATTACAGAAAAAAATTATTAATTCTTGGTAAAAAGAAAAATAAATGAAAAATAATTAAAAAATTGCTAGACATTAGACAATTATTGAAAAAGTTTATATATTTTAAAAATTATTTTGTGCTAAAAACATTTTTATAGTAAGCTTTAATATTTAAACAATTATTATATGAATAAAAATTTTAAAATGTAACATATTAAAAAATTGAAACAAAAATAATTTTAGTTTAAAAAATGAAATAAATAACAGGTTGCTATGATCATCACCTCAATTTCTTCAGTTTCAATTATTGTTTTGCACTCTGTACTTACTCCGCTGTTGATATGAACGCTGTAGAAAATAAATAAAAATGAAGTTTGCCAACCTTGTTTCAAAGTGTATAGCAAAGCGCATATTCGGTTTGCAAATTTGGTTTGCAAACAAATTTCACCGTCTATATCATGCTTAAATAATAAAACTAAAATTTAAAATTAAAATAAATATTTAGAATGCAAGAAATTTTAAAATTTTACAGCAAAATTAAAAATATTTTAGAATATTTATGCTTGAATACGTATTAACTAGTTAGCAACTAATAAGTTAAAAATTTTAAACCGCTTTTCAATTATACTTTCTTCATGAACTTCTAAAAATTTTTGAATATATTTATATGTACATATATAAAATATATTTATATTCCATAATTTAGCATATTTTTAAAAAATTTCATTTCCAAAATTTTCAAATTTGTGACACTTTTATTTTGTTTGAATTTTTGTTTACTTTTGACATATAATTGGAATATTCATTAAAATTTCCAATGAATGTTCACAATAGTTTGCTCATTGCATTGGTAACACTTTTTTCTATAACCGCCAAAATGTGTGACCACTTCACAACTAGGTGCATAGACAGATAAAGTAGTGTGTGAGTAGTTATATAATTATATAATATATAAATTATAACATGTATTTATGAATCTATGTAAGTACATATTAAATTTGAACAAAATTCATTTGCAATGTGTGATATAATTATTTTATTTAATTAGTGAAGTTAGAGAAAATTTCTATTGATATTGAAATTAGATGTTATGATGTATTAAGACTTCCTTAATTGATACGTTCTGGTACCCAGATAGGATTATTATTTGAGAATTTCCAATGTTTCACTTTAGTGGATTAGTTTAGTAATCAAGAAATAGAAAGATATGGAAAAAAGGTTTGGCAACTTATTTTAGTTAAAGTTGTAGCATAAGTGAGGGAGCCATATAAGGTTATTATAGCAGGGTCAGATTAAATTCTTTGCATTATAAGAAAATTTTAAGCAGAACGAAGGAGAAGTGAATTATTGTGTGAATTATATCAAGTACAGATACATAAATATTTTTTTCTTAGATAATGTTAATAAAGCATGTAAAGATAATGCAAGTAAAGTATAAACTGAGAGCGTAACACAAATAAAGTGCCAAATTACGCTCTTTACACAGATTTTCATGGAACAGCTTTATTTAAAGTCTAATGAGTGCACCAGTGCTGCGCAAATAAACAACACAAAAATTTAAATTTAAACCAAAACAGCTGATTCACACATCAACACAAATTTTAATTGAAATAAAATGTACGAGTAAAGTCTGTGTAGCATTGTCATATTTCGACAGGGCTGCTACGTTCTCTCAGATGTTCTCATTTAGTCGAAAATTTGCTAGTGGAACGCACTTTTGTATACATAGTGTTACTCTAAGTTACTACGATTAGCTCATGGAACAGACCTAGTGATAGCCATGAAACACAGCTTCAAAAAAATATACTATTCAATTTTTGTGATTATTATAAATTTGTAATAGAAATTTATACAGTTAAAAATGTTTATATAGAAATACTTGGTTACATATCTTAACATTTTTTTCTAAATTAAAATATATGCTACAATTAAATTTAAATAAATGTTTATTTTATTTATAATAAATTTGAATATTTATTAAATCTGAATGTGTGTGCCAGCCTAAATTTAATAAACATGTCTCGTGTTTATTATTTACTACTTTTTGTGTTCTTTGCTTTCATGCTATGTTGTTTTCTTCTTTTATCTCACACAGCTATAATGTCGCAGCCTATTGTATTGTTTCATTCCCTATTCCACAGCTGTCATTTGAGAAAACATGGAAAGATACTTTTTATTTATACATATACATTAGTCGAACAAAGCAAAAGCAGTCAAGCAATTGTGAAAAATTAAGTCATAAGTAAAGGCTGCAGAAAGTGAATTGTGGAAATTGCGTATCAATTAGAAATAATTTCAATCTGAAAAACTTGTTTATTTTGTGATATTTATTATAGAAAAGAAACATCCAAAACATGTCGTATGCTTATTTATTCAAATACATAATTATTGGTGATACGGGTATGTAAAATGAACATTTATATCTTACCAATATGTTGTAGGAAAATCTGCAAATATTCCTTATTTCGTTATACCAAATAGTCGTTTTCTTTTATTGCCCAACATTAACATTATGCAGAAAACAATATTGAACTCGATGACGAATACATGATGTGAAACATATTTTTGATTGCCATGAAAACTCTTTTGTTGGAAAATCAATATTTTTTATGAAGTTTGTCAGTTTGAGGGGATAAGATAACAGGTGGGGTTGGTTTTGAATAAACTACCCTTCATATTTTTGCACTCAATTTGGTTAGTCAAAACAATACACAAATATTAGAATTGTACATGAAATATCTAAAAATTTTTTATCTAAAAACACCACGAATACATGATGAGATTAAATATGTTGACGAATATATTCCATAATTTTGATCTAAAACAGCTGTTAAAGTTATTTGCTTAAATTAATGTATGTACATTATTATATACACATATGGAACTAAGATATAGTTATGCATAATAAAATTTTCACCAACTTTTATGTAATGCCACAATATGTGTATGCTTATATAGCCTTCATATATAGCAACTCATATCAAACAATATCAGAAAAATATCAATTTTTTTTAAAGGAATTTTTTTTTATTTTTTCTCCCCTCTTTTTATATAAGTTATTAACTATTATAATAATATTTTTAATCGTAGGTGTCGGAAAATCATGCCTGCTTTTGCAGTTTACTGATAAACGTTTCCAACCCGTGCATGATTTAACTATTGGCGTAGAATTCGGTGCTCGTATGATAACCATTGAGGGTAAACAAATAAAATTACAGATATGGGACACCGCTGGACAGGAAGCATTTAGGTTAGTTTTCAGTTATGTATAATAAATTTCTTTTATAAATTTCTGTATTTTTATTAAGGTCAATTACGAGATCCTATTACCGTGGAGCAGCAGGAGCTTTACTAGTTTACGATATCACTCGTCGAGAAACGTTTAATCATTTAACTACATGGCTGGAAGATGCTCGTCAACATTCAAATTCAAATATGGTGATTATGCTTATTGGCAATAAGAGGTAAGTAAGAGTTATAAATCGTTGCTTTCGTTGTTTACTAGATTAATACATGGGTTGGGACGTTATAATTTTAAACATAGTGTTAATTTGTTTGTATTATACCCTCCCCAAATATTTCAGGCACTAGATCATGTTTTCTTTTGAGTTCAAACAATATACTGTTGCTATGTAGAGCAGATGAAAAAAAAAATATATAAAACAAATAAAGTTTACATAATATTGTATAACATATATATAAAAGTATATCGTAAACCAATCAAATCAGCGATTAAGTTCCTAAATTATAATCATATACAAACACAAATAGCTCCACTGTTAGTAGAGCACACCTTTCATATTCATATGATCACATCTCTTTTAGTATCATGAACACATGGATACCGATCGCAAATGAAGATATTTTGTAAATCATTTCATTAATAATAGTAGAATCACTGTATTCATTTTATTTGATATGGAGTTGTATTTTTCGTCGGGAGTTGTGACCCAAACAACTAAAATATACTGATATATGTATTAAGAGTTCCTACTATGCTATTCAGTTACACTTTTGGTTGGTTCTACGCCCCGTGAACACATGTCAACACCAGCATCTAAGTACCGATTTGCTGTACACTTCCGTTGGATATTTATTCATTGTAGGAAAATTGAGTTGTACAAGCTTTGATTTTACTTATGAAGGTACACCAAGTTTATGTTTAAATAAATGAAATAAAACTTTACTCAAATTCATTGTATTAAATTATAATTGGTCTTCTACACTATTGTTAAGTGTGAACTTTGAACTTCTTTACGATCTGCTTCTATTTTATTTAATCTACTGATAACATGTTCTAATTAAAGAGGTTTTGATTTCTAGTGTCGACCTAAACATTGTATTTCCATCTGGTTTTTGGTCTACCTCAGTCTCTGGTTGTTATAAGTTTCGCATTAAAAATACTTTTTGGAGATACACTTCATAAATATTTTGATTTAATCATTTTATAATATATTAACTTATAAACTTATAAATAACTTATAAACTTCCTTTGTGAAAAAATGTTTGGCTATACTTAATCGTATAAATAAAAGCGCAATTGATCTTTTAAGTCCTTAAACATAATAACAGAAGTTCTTAAATACGCTTATTTCGGCTTTGGAACTATTTGTGCAATTCACGCAGTTTCACGCAAATACTATATTATATATTATAATGTTATTATAAACAAATTATACATTATTATTATATTTTATATAGAGTTTTAAAAAAAGGAATACTATTTAACGTTCTAAAGTTTTATTCTGAGTTTTGTTCAATTAAAAATATGATTGAATTATACGAATGCTTTTATTGATAATATATATATATAATCTTTGTAATTTTTTTAGCTTTAAGCAAAATTTTAAACCATTTTTAATTATTTTATTTTCATTAAAGTGATTTAGATTCTCGACGTGAAGTGAAAAAAGAGGAAGGAGATGCTTTTGCACGTGAGCATGGTCTTATATTTATGGAGACTTCAGCACGTACAGCAGCCAATGTAGAAGAGGCGTTCATAAACACTGCAAAGGAAATTTACGATAAAATACAAGAAGGCGTATTTGATATAAATAATGAGGTAAGTACTACGCAAGTATACATACATATAAACATATATTACTATATAACCTATTGTTTATTATTGTATAGGCGAATGGTATCAAAATCGGACAACAGCATTCCCCAACAAATCCATCACTGCCTGGTTCTGGTAACCAAGCTGGAGCAGCTGGTAGTGGTTGTTGTTAAAAAATAGTTGTCTGTGGTTGCATTAGTTACTATTTCTTATCCATTTAACTAACAACCTTTGATTTTATACCTTAAGTAAAGCAAGCTGAAAAACTAGAATTTCACACTTGTTTTTTCTAGTAACTTATTAAAGTATACATATTATATATATGTGTATACCATAAAGAAATTAAAGACGTAAATAATTCGGAAATCTAAATACGGTAAACATTTTTAAAGTTAAATAAAATAAATTAAATATAAATTATACAAAAAATAAGTGAGATGTCGTGAATGAAATTATACTTATCTTAATTATTTTTTTTCTATTTATGTTTGCTTATTTAAATAAAATAAAATATTTTATATATATTTTTTTTAAAATTTGGCAAAGTTTCATTTTTTAATGTGTTTTATTTTTTTTTTTTATTTTGCTTTAAAATTAGAATTAAAAATCAAAATAAATTTACTGCGTAATGGAAACTTAACCAAATAACGAAAATAACTTCAAAGATAATTGTACAAGAGTTTTAATAAATTGTATTATTTAAAAATAATAATCTCCTACATTTTTTTGTTTTGTTTAGTTTTGATTTATTTGTAATATAAATAAATTTATGTAATTTTAGTTTTTGTATAAACTTAGGTTGCGGTTAACATTCAAGAAACAATTTTTATTTCTTTGCCTTATCGTAATTTTAAACTAAATATTTTTATTAGTTTATATATAAATAAATATATATGCGTAACATTAATTATATATGCTATATTAAATATTTTACACATATGAAATATTGTAATTTTATGTAAAAGTCTCCAAATAAAAATTTTATAATTACACAAAAACTAAATAATATTTCTTCAAATATACATATATAATCAAAATTATACCAAATTAATATTAAAGAAAATACGAAAAAATGGATTATTATTATTATTAATCTGAGTTTTGCGTTTTGGTTGTCTAAGCAGTGTATTATTGAATCAATATAAGGGCAAATCAAAAATGTATTTCCAAAGTTAAAACCATATAATGAAATGATTAAGGTAGTAAATATTTGCAATAAATGTTAAGTATTTATTAGAAAACTTAACTCTTAAAAGTGCTGAACTGCTGTGGATTTGTTTTTCACAGAATTAATTTACATTAATATATATCCTAAATTTATAGATATCATATTAAACTACTATATATATACTCCCACAGCTCTACGAGATGCAAATCAACAATATCCAAACATGTCAGAGTGCAGCCCATAATGCAGATTACTATCTTAATGCAGAATATAAAATGCTTTTTATAAAAAAGCACAAACAATTACTGTGTAAGCGATATTTATTTTTGTGCCACTCAGATGGACATCATAATCGGCAGAGGCCTTCCTCTACGAAGCATCTGTCGATCTTTTTTGTGGTATCGTGAATACATCGACACTTATTCTAATTTAGCTAATATAAGAGAGGTCGAGCACAATCATGAAACAAAACTCTTCACACAGATGCAGTATCTTCTTCTACACCATGGTTACTAAGCAACAAAGTTCTCAACAGTCCATCGCCTGGTATTTCCAGAAAAAAATGACACTTTCTTCTTCACCCTATTTCATGCAGTAAAAACTCTCTTCTTTTCACTTAACTCTCTTCTTTTCACTTATCTTCTACTTAATACATGTTCTAACTCATGTCTTCGCATTTCATGTCTCCTCTAACATAGAATACGCTGGGCTGCAACAACAACTATTGTATAAGATCACCTTTACCGAACACTTGTATCAATTACGGCCTACTCACAACTCTATCTCTCCCCTATACTAAACAATGCTTTTTTTTCTCACTCTGCCTTCACACAATTACATCTTATCCCATATATTCGTATTATATCTCTTTTCAAATTCAAAAAGAAAAATAATAATGTTATCTACCTAGCTGCAAAGAAATTCTGCTTGCTTGGTATATAAATTTGAGTAACCATCGGAAGAGAGTGCAGAATACTGGAGTGTAGCTTAAGATGATTTGATTTGTTGATAAATTAAACCCTGTATGATTACGAAGCATACTGAACAATCAAAATCATTAATAAGTAAGTTGATGTCTCCTTTGGGCTTATTTTCAGATATAATTAAAAAATAGAATTTTTGAATTCTTTTTTAAGGATTTATTAATATAAACTTTGAATTCGTTAAGTAGGCACATGGTACTCATAAATGCTATGCAGTTTTATTTCTGGGTTGTAGCCTTAGCAGAAGTGCAACGCAAATAAAGTGAATGGATTACTAAATGAATATATGGGTTGTGATCAGATGTGATATCAGAAATGGTTATGTGATGTGGGTTAAATGCTATTTGATGCGAGTATGGGTCAAGATAAAGAAAAAGATAAAGAAATGATGTGTAATGTGTAAGACGTCTAAGAAGTAGATCTACAGTCAGTTGATAAGTAACTATTTGACACGTGGCTATGTCCTGACATTTGAGCAGGGGAATTCTAGCTGTATCGTCTAGCTGTATCAGAGCCATTTCATGCGGAAGCTTGAAGATACTGCTTTATCCCTTGTCAATATTTAACTGATGTCGTCTCCGTTGGAATGTGTGTCGATGCTTTGTGATATGAAGCAAAAGATCCATGAATGCAACACGATGAAAGGAATCTACTGATCGTGGCACCATAGGTAAATAAAATATTATTTTAGCTCTGTTTTGTTAATAGATATTTAAAATTTTTTTTTATGCTGGTTTCAATAAATTGCACAATTAAAACATATTCATTATTGTGACGATAATTAATACTTACTTTTGTGAAGAGGAAATAAGTCAATGTAATAAAATGATTATTAATTTTAGTTATAATAATTTTCTAACTTTATTAAATTGAAAATATTTTAGTTGTTTTTATATAAATTTAGAATTTAACAGTTTATCTACTGAAATTGATAATTGATTTATTTTCATGAAATATTAAAGCACATTTTTTTATATAATTAATTTTTATTTACGTATTTAAAATAACAAATTTTAATTTTCTACTAAATAATGACGAATTCAATACGTTCTCTAATGCTATCATTATTATTTTGTAATGAACTTATATGAATATAATTGTTTTAAAAATATTTTTATATATTATTAACAAGTCTATATTTTAGTGCTATTTTCTAAAACATTTCTAGTAGCAAGGATTCGATTTATTTAAGACGTGATATACAAACTAAATACTCTTTCATCTATGGTAAATAGATACGAAACAAAGTTTAAATTTTTTATTTTATATTAATTAAATAATTAATTTTATTATGTGTATTGCAATGGCGGAATTTATCGAATCACCACTAGTTTTCCATTTGTTATAGATTTATTTAAAAAGGTTTAAAAAAAAAAATTAATTTTATTCGGATAAATTAAAATTAAATATAATTATTGATTTTACATTGTGACCGAAAGGTTTTCGGAAGTTCTCATTTAAAATTCGCGCGCTGTATATTTTTCGATATTTTAAGTTTATGTAGTTTGGCAGCACTTTCCTTAATTACTATGCCAAAAATGAGCGCGATCTGTCAGACAGTTCGTTTACGGCAGCTGTTGAAACCAGTTCACCTCAGTAGTGCGTTGCGAAAAAAACAATGGAAAAAAATATTGAACAAAGAGTTTGCATCCAATTTTGTGTTTCGAACGAAATTTCGTGTGCAGAATCGTTGCGAATGCTACAAAAGGCTTATGGGGAATCAGTTTTATCGAAAACTCAAGTTTATGAGTTGTACAAAGCCTTTCAGGACGGTCGTACGACCGTCGAAGACATGCCGCGTTCTGGACGACCTTCGGCCTCTACCACCGACGAAAACATTGAAAAGGCAAAGGAAATCGTGTTCCAAAATCCTCATGTGAGTGTTAGAGAGATAGCACGAGAGCTAGGCATCGGTCGTGAGAGCTATCCGCCGTAAACGGCCTCAATTGTGGAAGGATAATTCATGGATTTTTCATGACGATAATGCTCCCTCGCACCGAGCCAACATTATCAACGATTTTAAGGCCAAACATTCAATAAATACCATCAAACAGCCACCGTATTCACCTGATCTTGCACCGTGTGACTTTTTCCTGTTTCCCAAACTCAAATTACCACTCAGAGGAACGCGTTTTGAATCCATAGAAGACGAAAAACAGAATTCGCAGAGGGAACTCAAAGCCATACCGGAAAGCGCCAATAAAAAATGTTTGATGATTGGAAGAAACGTTGGCAATTTGTTGTATCGCTTCTAATGGAGCATATTTTTGAAGGAGATAAAAATAAATATTGATGAAGATTAAGAATTTTGCGTTTTATTTAAAATTTCCGGAAACTTTTCGGTCACAATGTATATATATAATACTATTGTTGTATTTAAAATGTTATGCCGTAAATAATTAAAAATTTATATTGTAAATTGCTTACAATATTTTTATAAATTATTCAAGTAATTGTTTTATTTAAAATGACTGACTATTTAAAGGATCAATGCAGCAATAATGCGTTATTACTATTGTTTTATAAAAATTTATTTTAATTTCAATATATTTTATTCTTAGCAATAAAATGTTTCCAAATATTTTGAAATTGAATATAATTTTTTTTAGATGTGTGTGACAATATTTAAAAAAAATACAATATAAAATACTGGCAATAAATAATGCTTTCTGTAAGGTAATTGATATATATTTTCAGTTTTATTTTAATAATTGAAAGTAGCAGAGTTCTTTTTTAATTTTATGGAATTTTATTAAAATTTATTCATTATATTGTTTTATAAAAATTGTATATTTAAAATTGAAAAATTTTTAAATATATTATTTGTGCAGTTTAATTGATTGTGTCCTTGTTTTGAATTATTAAAAATATTTTTATTGAATATAAATTTAGTATAATAATTGTCATAGATTATTGTTTCAGTTATAAAGATTCATTATATATTGAAAAGGTGAAAAAAATAATTATAATTATATATAATTGTATAATGAAAACAAACAATTGTCCATGGTAATTTTTAATATAGAAGTAAAAATAAATATGTAATATAAAGTATTAATATAGAAATAAGAATTAAATATATAAATGAATTTAATATAGAGATATAAATGAAATTTATTAATTTTTAATATGAAAATAAGAAAAAGAAATATATAGTTTTAAATTAACTCAACTATTAAGAATTCAACTATTATTTTGAGTTCTTTTTATAGTTTGATTTGCTGCATGATTTGCTGCATATATGCATATTATATGAAATATAAAACTTTATAACAGTTTATATAAAAATTAATAATATTAATATTTTTATACCAAAATTATTAAATTATTATTGCGGAATTAACACAATTCATTGATTATAATTTGCTTAAACATAAAATATGTATATATTATATTTCTTTATATTTTTTTAAATGTAATTAACTTCGAACTTTAGCATGAACTACTACTACAAGTTAAGAAATTGGTGCCAGTCGATCTCACCTATTATTTATTAGAAAAAATTCATATTAACTGTATTAGCAGTTAACGAATTGCGCAGTTTAATGCATGAAGTTAACTTTTGTCTTTGTGTCTGATACATCACTGTCACTTTCTTTGGAACGCTTTTCGCAGAATTCTATCATGTATGACGCAACACCAGACAGCGCTATAAATATGCCAGCAACATAGAAAGCATTATCCCAGCTATTAAAGAAAAAAATGTTTTTTGAAACATTTCTTAATAGAATTTAATAAAATTTTGTGAAACTTACGCTTTTGTAAACTCGAAAATAGCACCAGCAATTGGTGGACCAGCAATCATACCAACACCTTGTACTAAGAGCACCAAACCATATGCACATGTAAAATCATCCAAATCCACAATACTGACTAAAATGCTAGGTGTAAACGAGAAAGAGCTGGCGAAAGTGAAACCGAAGAGTATACACAATGCCAACAATATCGCATAACTTTTTATAAACAAAGGCATAAGAAGCACCGATAAACCGCAAACTAAAAAGAAATTATTATATTATATATTATAAGTTTATAGAACAACTCGTATAGTCAATAAAATAGAAATACTTACACAACATACATATAGAATAGCAGATATTAACATTCATCCATGAACTGTCACCTATATAACCTAAGCCTATCATGCCAATGGTCTGTGCTATGCCAATCACTGAGATCAATTGGGCACTATCAGCTGGTTCGTAACCATAATTTCTCATGTATTCCGGTAAATAGAGATAGGGTATAATAAACCTTAAAATTAAAAAGAAATTTTTTAATTATTGAGTAAAAATGAAATAATATATGTAATCCTAATTTCTGTTGCATTTTAATAACTGTGAATTAGAAAACGAATGGCTTAAAATTTGAGATAATGTAAAAATATAATAATAATCCGTACAAGTTTTCCACTCTTTACAATTTTAATGAGTTACTATAGGTCATTAAAAAGAAAGATAGAGAGACAGGGAGATCAAAACAGAGAGAGGAAGAGCGAAACAGAGATAGGGACAGAGAAACGGAAAGAGGGAGAGCAAAATAGAGAGAGGGAGAGAGAACAAACCTATATTTACTTGTCAACAAGCACGTGTTCGTGAAGCTTTCAGCCGATCAAAGGCCTCAGGCATTCCAGACAGCTCAGTCGAGGTATATCTGAATCCAGATTAATAAATGGATCCTAACTGAGCATATGATTGTTAACGATTAATTTTTAAAGATCAGGATAGAGGACACAAACACTTGTGGATTCTATGAAACGCTGAGTGAAACTTTGTACTATGTGAATGAGAGGTCAAATGATTTCATTCAACCGATTGAGGTTTTAGATTTTTAGCCAAGAGATATTATAGAGAAAGTATAGAAAGTACAATATATTTCATAGGTAATAGCGTACCATGTATATTACTTTTAGTAAAAAGTATAGTTGAAAATAGAAGTAGAATAAAAAATGTTGGGATATTGTAGAAAGTGTTTGTAGATAACTTCAATGATTATAAGAATAGGTTGACTCTATTTCTTTTCCTTGGTTTTAATGTGAAGTTTTACTTGTAAGATACAATATTCTTACAAGATACAATGTAAGAAGATGTGATGTAACAATATATTTTGTAAGATACAATAATTTCAATTACTAGTTACATTGATAGCTTATATCCACTTACTTCTCAATGAGTTTGTAAGATGTATAAAAGTGAAAGAGTAAGAGTGATTACTTTTAATAAGTATTAATTTGTTAAGATGATAGCATCTTAGGATGTTGGATGATGTGGTTAAGAATATAATAAACATACTAAATAATAGAAACTTCATCAATCACATATATTTATAGAATATAAATAGATGATTTACGATATATCTGCATAAATTTGAAGATTTCTTATTTAACTCATTGAATAATTATAACTGCTAATAGTTTTATGAGAAGATTTTGGAACACAATAAATGCATATCATTTGTATATATAAATGAATAAACGTTACACTTACCATATAAATAGGAATAGAGTCGATAAGTTGAAGAATGTAAATTTTAAGTCCGCAAATAATGAGAAATCAAATACAGACTTCACTGTATCAAGAAGGTTATCGTACCAGGTCTGTAAGCATAAAATAAAAGTTTTATAAATTGTATATATTGTAACTCATGTCAATGTGCTTTTCACAAACTTACATCTTTTTCTTCCTTAGCGATTGTTGTCATAGAGTTTCTGTAAATATTTGGGCAAGACGAGGCTCTCAAATGGTAACGATGTGTATTTAACATAGCACCGCGGTAGTGTATAGAGTTGCGGTGTATACGCATATCCTTGAGAAAATTTGAGTTTCGTATAGAAATATTGTGTCGTAAATTCGAACGATAGCTTGGTTTCTTCGATTTCGATAATCTTCGCATACCACTAATGCTATCAGTACGTGCTCGTTTTACAGGTGCAGTTCTTTTGAGTTCATCATTTTCAGGAATAGTAATAATAGCTGGTCCCTTGTCGTTGTATTTTCTAACATTTACCTCAATAAGTGCAAATGCCTCATCCTTATTGGAGTTGTAATAGGAATGCATGTCTTCACTTATTATATCAATTGATTTGTGACGAAGTCCATTAAGTTTTAAATTTGCGATTGATGATTTGAAATTTTTACCGATAAAAACATTTTCGTTTAAAGAATACCGCGAATTTGCTAGGTTATCATGATTTTGTTCGTAGATATATTTTTGTGTTAGAAAATCATCATCGCCAAATGAACGTAGTGATACAAGCGATGCACGCATAGGAGTATCTGCATAGCTGGAACGTTTTTCCGATGGAGATAATGTTTCAATTGAAGCTAAATAACTCTTCCTTGCAGCATTAGCAGCTGCTTCAGCGATACCACCTATATTTGTATCGTCTGGTGAACCAATTATGGCAGCTGTTGGATTGTTTGTTGCACCAGCGGACGACATTGACAAAAGATTTTCACGTGATGGTGCTTCAACACCATCCTTTTGCCGTAGAGAACGTCTGCTTAAACTTTTTAATTCATAGATATTGTCAAGTTCATGAGAGCCAAGAAATGTAGGCAAAAAAATCTCACTACGATAACGTTTGAGCATGCTATCGTGCGGATCGTCAATTTGTTGATTAGCCTCAGTATTATTTTTCGTTACCAAGGTGTCTAATACAGCCTCTTTGGTAACACCAGTGTCAAGTAACTTTTTAATTTCTTCTAAACAAACGCTTGAGTTTGAGAATGTAGTTTCACTTTGAGAACGACTTTCAAGTCTATTTTCCTCAATTAACCAGTCTGGGTCACGCATAAGTGCACCGCAAACGCAGGTATTTAACATCGTGCCTGCCAAAATTAGTGTAGCACCACGCCAGCCATATGTGTCAATTAAAAATTGTGTGAGGGGTGCATATAGGAAAGTTCCAATACCTGTGCCAGAAGCTCCAATACCAGTAGCAAATGTTCGCTTTTTGTCAAACCAGAATGCTACCGACACAACTGCAGTGACATAGCCAATACCAAGGCCTAAACCAGATATAATGCCAAATGTCAACATAAGAGTCTCAATCGAATTGCAAATAGATGCTAAACCAAAGCCAAATGCCGAGAGCAATCCTCCAAACATAGTCATTTTACGGCAGCCATATTTATCTACTAAATTCGACCAAATCGGACCCATTAAAAGTGGTACTGAGAAAAATAATGAACTGATCCAAGCAGTTTTTGAGGGTGATTCTCTAAAGTATGCAAGCAATTCTGTGTGTATTAAACCGAAGGAAAACGATAGACCATCGGCTATTAGTGAAACCACTAATGAGGCGAGCACAACTACCCAACCGTAACCACCATCGGGAATTTCCGGTTTCTTTTTATCTGTTGAGCTCGAATCAATAGAATCACCAGATTCATTTGATATCAAACGTGTACGTTTCTTCAAGTTATTGCCATTAGCGAAGCTGGTAGTGGTTATAACTGTGGTATTGTGCGTGTCATCAATTGTTATGATGCTATTCTTCAGCACTTGACAATTGGATTCGTTGTCGTCCAAATCACTTGCTGATAAATTACAAAATTTCACTTCTGGGAATAGATCGTGTTTAATTGCTCTGTTCAGTGGAGTCGTTGGTGGCGCTGTGGCCACATGTGGGGTTAGTGATTGATAGACACTGCCATTTTCTTTCACTTGCGAATTTTGTTTGACCACCATTTTTAAGTATTATTTTTATTTAAACTCAATTTAATTTGTATAAAAAGGTGGGGATAGAAAAATTTAATTTATAATTTTTATTAGGACAGTTTATTTGTTTGATGATCTGTATAAGTTCCGATTGAACACAATAGAAAATTCAGCAAAGTTTAATTATCAAAACTTTATTGTACTATAAACTTGAATTCCTTTTTTTTTTATATTTTATTTTTATTTTGTCTTTTCTTAATAAGAATATTGTATTGAAAGGTAAATATTCCATTCACTTTCGAAAAAGCCTTTACTTATGTAAAATTAACGATGCAAACAACGCTTTAGACATCATTGACGAGTCTATAATTTCCAATAATTTCAATATCTATGATTTTTGGAAAGTAAACTCCATTCTAACGAAGTGCATATTTTAAATATATCTGCAGTTTAAATAATCAATCCAGTGCTTAAAATATGAAATCCTTTACTGTGTACATAGCTAAAAGTAGAGAAGAAAGAGGATATAAATTTTAAAGTTATTACTTTTTATTTATAAATATAAAAAATATATTAAAGGAAATTAAATTCAGTGTTTAATGATATATTTATGGTAACTTATGAAAATGGTAATAATTAAAAAATAATAATAAATTTGACATTTAAAAGTTTAAAAAAGTTTTTGCAAAGGTTAAACTCTTTACTACAAGAAACCAAATATTAAAGGACTTCTCTATTTCTGTCCGGCTCTGTCAAAAATAAAACTTAAAATTTTGAAAACTATGAATTTTGAGGAACTGATTATAGACCCTGATTTTAATACAAGAAACCAAGTTTTAAAAAGCTTTTCCGTTTTTATATGGCTCTCTCAAACATAAAACTATAAATTTTTGGAACTATGTATATTGACGGAGTGAATATAGCTTATGATATGTACTATGATTAACTACCGATCTATCAAGTATATACATGATCTTACCCACTCAGTTTTATCAACCCATCGTATCTCATGTTAAAATGTCATATATTCGATCTACTACAAAACACATTTTCTTTCTGATTCCACTCTAAATAAGCCGAAGTAAGCACAGTTTTCTAACTGCCCGAGACCTTAATCAACAACAACCTTATTTCTTGCTTTACTTGTTCATTTTCTCGATTTTGGCGACACTAGTTTGCTTTACATTAAGTCTATTGATCTCTCATATTTTAGCGATTGTTACGTATACTTTTAAATTTATTAATTTTAATAATTAATTAATTTTTTCTAATTATATGTGTAACTTTACACTGCATAACAAAGAGTAGGTATTGAAATTATTTAAAAAAGTATTTTTATTCTTTAATAGTGGATCTTGATAAAACTAAATTTTTGTCCAACCATTTTTTTAATTTTATTTATTAATATAAAAGCATATATAAAAATAAAAATATAATATCAAAAGCATATCCAAAATCAAACATTTATGAAATATTTTTATATATTAAGCAATTTCCCAAATTATTAGTTTTTAGTTGTAATTATAAGTTTTGAGCCAATAAAATTTTTTTTGTTCCGAAAATAGAATTATTGCAGAATTGCTCGAGATTACTAAATGAATTTGTAATAATTTTTAAATTTTTTTATAATTAGTTCATATAGAAGTATATATATACAAGAATACTATATATATATATACATATTAAAATAATTGAGTCCGAATTGCATATAGAAACGAAACTATTACATTTCTATGGAGAAGTATCTATGCGTTGAAAATATCCAGACATATTTTAAAGCTAATAAAAAATATTTTAAATTCAGTAATTTCGTATTTTAAATAACGTCTATATTAAAAATATTGTATCTTCTTTAATGGAAGCCTCACATTCTATATTTCTTTACCGTTAGTAATTAGATTAGACCCAGTGAGCGGTTAATATGTAGAACACTATTTCAAGAAACATATTTGTAGAAATATATAATATATATGATATATATATTGCATAGAAATTCAATAAGCGCGTCTCACATTGTATTTTCATTCGTTCTTTATTTCTGACACAAGTATTTCCTTTATTCGATATTTATTGTCATAAACACTTATAATCTTATAATAATTAGATGAAAGTAGATGAAACAATAGTTAGGATAATAATACTCATATCATACTCATATCATACTCATATCTTATCATAAGCAATAATTATTTCTGTTGATCGGAATTCCCACCCTTAGCTAGAACAATATGACACAAACTATTACTTCTATATATCATTGTGGCTATTGAACTTGTTTTTAGATTCAAGCATTCACTCAAATGATAGCAATTGATTTGTTTGTTACTTGAATCGCTGAAGTTAGGAAATTACTTCTCTGTGTACATTTTTTAAGTGTTTTTTCAGGAATTTGGATTTTTGAAAAATTTTATAATAATCACTCAGTTTATCATTGTTGTAAAAGATATATACTAATGATAGTTTGAGTTGTATGTTAGGTCGGTGTATCTTCTTAGAATCTTCTTTCGTAAGTGATAAGTACTACATTCGCTTGCAGTTAAATACAGGTAATATGTTACGCTAAAGCTAAAGAACTATATATGTACATACTTAAAAAAATTAAAAAGCTGTGATTGGGAAAAATCGTTTATGGTTTTAGTTGCCATTTTTTGGGTTTTCAAAATTGGTTATGTTTCGTTTAGGTATTTACAGTGTATCATCATTATAAGATGGTTTACGATACTAGGTACTCAAAACTATTGCGATAAATGAGAGTAGTCAAGTTGATTCTGTACGATATTGTCTAAAATTATAAAGGATCCACACAAGTTACAAGTTCTCATTGGGAACAAGAAGAGAGTTAAAGAAGAATATGTAAAAAGAACCAAATTACACTTTTTTATGGGAAGCAAGTAAGTTTTTTATGCATAACATGAAAATATCAGAGACACGTTAGTGGGTTAATATTAAAGAAAGAAAGACTACTTCTTCATAATATTGTCTATTATAACGAAAATCGAACCTTCTGATTCTTCCTCAAGTTGGAAATTTAGACATCGAGTCTATTATCACGAAAATCGAGAGAAAATTTAGACTTCAGGAACAAGCTTAAACAACTTAAGAGATAAAGCAAGTGACGATCCTGTAAGAGGCGCTAAAAGTACTAAAATAGTAAATTATTACATTAACTAAACTGCTTAGGGAAATATTATTAAGCCAATGGACTCAAACCACTGCAAAAGTTGGAGATTTTCTGAGCTTTTACGTTTTCTTTGATTATGTCAAAAGCAGCAAATTAATATGAAAAGAAAATACAACTAAAATCTATAAAATATTTACATAGATGACTTGAGTATTTAATAAAATCTTAATAAGGTCGGTTTTAAAACTTTTATAAGTGGATCGTATACGAAAGGTAACAGAAACTTGATAATACTCTATAAAGAACTTTATGATTTCGCAGTATTAAATTTTATGTTTTTTATTATTTAATATCCTATCTTCTTATGAATTTTTAAACACTTTATAATATTAGTTTTGATTAATAAATTAATAAAATCAATTACAGTTTAGTTTGATTGAATTGTTTTCTTTTTTTGACGTTGGGTCCCTTTGAAAATAGTTTCGAGGTAAATAGTATTTATAGTCTTTTGGTGAAAAGTTTTTCTCATAAACACTTCAAAATTATAAAACGAGGATTTTAATAATAATTTAGTCTTGTTTTCGTATTTGTACAACAATAATATTTTATTTAAACACATTTTTTAATTTCACAATTTTAGACACAGAACATCAAATAACTGTTAATACGGAACAATGCAAAATATTATAAGAAAATAATTTTGCAATTTTAAGAAAATGATTAAAAAATAATAAAAAATTTAATCAAAATGGTTAATGGCAATTTTGCAAATATATTTAATTGCATTTTATTATTTTTGTTGAAATTAATAAAAATATTTCAGAAGCCAAATCAGAAGCGACAACCGCACAGAACGACGATCTAAATGGAAACTCGTCAAGAAACTGTATTAATCCAACAACAAATCAGAAGATTTTGTTGTTAATTTTTAGTTTGTTATTGTTTATTTCCTTCAACTTGACCTCACCAAAAAAGACTCTTCTAAGTACTCTGAGAAAATAGCAAAATTAAAACAAAATAGGGAAAATATATTGTCAAATAGTTAATATCTTTTACTCTTAAAATTAATGCTCTTATCAACGTTGAGGTTCTCTACAATTCTAAATATATTAAAAATTATAAATTAAAAATAATAAATTTAACATAGTGATTTTCGTATATATTCAAATAAAATCTATAAATATACTGTTAACAATATTGTGCATATAGGATAATTAAGTTAGTCAGCATGTTTGTAACCCGTTAAATGAGAGATTAAAGACTCTATAGCAAAATTTATATACATACACAGTTGATATGGGTGACACTCTGCAGAAACCCTCCAGCTATCAAAGAGTAAAAGTGCTCTGATCCACTAACTCTGAAAAGGCTGAATAATATATATAACAATATAGATGTATATATGTATAAATTATATACATAGCATGATAAGACGAATCGTTTTACTAATCATCAAATACTAATCTATCTGTAAGTCTTATGGTTAGTATGTTGACGTGCACGTTTTGCGAAGTAAGTCAAATCATGAATAACATTGGTTAAATAAAACATTTAAAAGTTATAGAAAATTAATGCCGATTATAGCGTTACACATATTTTATATATGAAAGTGGATTAAAATTTTATTAAAATGAAAAATTTACGCTAAATAGAAAAAAGTAAATAAAAATTTGCTCTCCTATGAGACTGATTGTATTTATGAATAATTTACTATCTCTTCATGCATTTCTAAATAAGCAATGTTTAAAGTCCCGCATATTTATCAGAGAATACAATGTAGTTTTTTGATTTTAGTCTACTACGTGCTATATTAGAATAAGTATCTATTGTTGACAATAATTTGAGAACTGTATTTTTTCTATAACAAGTAATGCTTGTCTCTATGAAATTCATTGGTTCAAATATACTAAGGACATTTCAGACAAAAATCTATGAAGGTTTTTATTTATGAAACTCTCCAATAAGGTTGTGGAGTGCCATATATTCGTCATTTGTTGAACTAAATGTTTAGCGCTCTTTTGATTCCTCAGTTTTTATAAGAAAAATGGATTATAAGAACAGCCCCAAAATTATATTACGAACTGTCAATTTTATTTATGTTTACAAAAAAAGTCTTAGAAATTATTTTTTAATAATGGAAAATATTGAACATCGTACAATTGTTAAATAATATAAAAAAAGGAATAAAGGCAATAAAAAATCATATCAAAACGTTATATATGTAAGGTGCATCTATTTCTTCAAAAACAATCGTCATCATAAATGGTGCAACGATCTTAGGCGAATCTTGGCCTCCCTCTTCATAAACAATGGATTACTTAAAAGTGGATGTACAGGCCTTGAAGACGATCTGCGTACAGAAGTTCTAATAACAGTCTAAAAAGCTGTATGCAAATCGGAAACAAGATAAAAAACTAATGAGTGATCTTTGGTTCCGAAGCGAATTTGTTGACGGAAATTTCCAAAAAAGGGGTTAGCGCCAGTTTTTTGGGATGTAAAGGGAACTTTGTTAATACAATGTAGTACCTCCAAACAATAAACTCACAATTTTATTCTAACCTTTTCGAACTATTGGGTTAAAAAATTTGTAAAAAAGGCTGGTCTTTACAAGCAGAGAAACGATTTCTTTAAAAAAGATGAGACATGCATCTGTAGTCTAGATGCATGTTTTTGTTCTTCATACTCTGTCAAAACAAATTTAAATTTATACAAAATATCAGAGATATAAGTTATGCACACTGATAAAATTAATGATAAAAATAATACTATTAAAAAAGACAATAACACATTTTCAATTCAAACATATGCTCATAAGGATTCGGCTTCACCTTAATTCCTATGATTAAATTATAATTCCAATGATATCCTTGCACGAAGATAAATTATATGTCAAAGCAAATGCGCTCAATCCTTAGCATAAACTCCCATTAGGCTTACACTATTTATTTACTTAAATATTAAAGTTTTTGTTAGCAAGCGTTTACATTGTCATCACTGTGCTATCTCTTAGCTTACAGGCCCAAAGGATTTACTCAATTTTCTATTATTTTTTTATTTATTAAATTTTTTTACTAGCGACCCTTTGATTTATTGCTACTGCGCCATCTCTTAAGAGAGAATCTTTATAATAAATTTCTATATTTGTGACTATGTACCCGTTCTGCAGTAGGGGAATTGGTACAATGAAGGACTTCATAATATTGATGAAAAAATCAGCTGTTTGACGTATGTAAAAGTATTTTTAAATCTACCGAAAATTGTTTCTATTGCTTGCGCAATTCGAATTGTTGACAAAATTTTATGTTTTTTTATAAATATTTTAAAATTTTTGCATGAAACGTTTGCCAATTTTTAAAATTAAGACTGCCAATGTTTTATATTTAGAATTAATATAAAACAAATAATTTTGAAAAATAAATTAAATAAATAATTATTGTACTTTTCTTATTCTGTTTCCTTTTTTTTTGTACATTTTGTCAATATACGGTTTTAAGAGAAATTAAAAAAAAACAATGTAATATATAAAAAAAGTAAAAAAATTTATCTATGGTCTATGATCTATGATCTATGGGAACTAAAAATTATTTAAAATATTGTTACAATTTAACCATGAAAAAAATATAGATTTTCTATATAATATAAAATATAAAATTAATATATTTGGAAATATGACAGAATAAATCAAAAGCGGCTAAGATTATTCTAGTTCATTTAAAACCATTTTTGGTCTATTCTAGGTCTAGTTTGTGGTGCCCCTTGAACTCTCTAGATTAAAAAATCCCTAAACATTTTCGAGCTATTAGAACATTTTTGAGTAGCTAGAACATCTTCAAGAAGCTAGAACATCTTCAAACAGCTTCAAACATCTTCGAACAGCCCGATGATCTTCGAGTACATCGATCATTTTTGAGTAACTTGATCATCTTCGACTAGCATGATCATTTTCAAGAATCTTTGTTTAAACACCAGTTGACTTTAATTACTCCAATTTCAAATTCACCGAACAATTTGAAGTCCTAAAAAATAGACATCCAAATCCTGTTAATAGTTTACATAATATTATTCCCAAAAATTCCCAAAACTTCACTTGAAACTTTTACGCAGGCAGTGTTAATAGACTATATATTAACATATTGCAAGTAACACCGTATCTCAGCAAAATAATTTAACAAAAGTTTTATCTATCATAAGCGTCGTTTTAGTAAACACAAACATATTATATAATTAGATTTAGAGATACACTCCAGTGATATATAGTTAATCAAAACGGAATTAAAGGTATATATTACAAAAATATTGAAAAAGTATTGTACAATGGAGCATTTAATATTGGCTTGATAGTCTAAAAAAAAGGCCGGGCCTTATGTCCGCAAATAAAATACTTCTTGCTACAATTTTTTTATTGTCGCCCTCAAACGAAGTAAATGGTTTCAATGATTTAAAAATTATTTGGAAATGCATAATAGTTGAGCACTGAGGTATCCATCACAATTCTAGGGATTATCACATTAAATGATATTAAACTCTTCAGTATGCTTAGTGCATTTCGGAATTAATAGTCTAACCTAGCGAGATTTCATTTAATATTAGTTTTTGGACTCATCATGTGCTAGTTTTGGTGCATATAATTGCTACATTTAAGCACTTTTTCACTACAAAAAAAATTATATTGCATAACAGAATAAATAAAAGAATAATATTAAATGTTTATGTAAATTATTGTATAATAGTTTGGTTTCTTGGTTTTTGTCTTTGTCTACTTACAGGTCTCTGAAAACCAGGGAACCATGCTAGAAGATTGTGTTTCCCTTTCAATTGAATCGGTCGCAATTGTGGGAAAGATGATGAGGATGCCTCTCATCTATTATGTTTTTACCCAGCTCATGCACGGCGGCGACTTAATACTTTAAGCCCACTTTCTTGAGCACCTGGACCAATTACAGGACTTGACACTAAATAGCATCTTATGCTTCGCTAAAGGTTCTAGGTGATTTTAAACCCTGAGTTTTCCCACATATACGGTAACACAATGGACTAATAGGCCTAAGTGGATCCATAAGGGATCGCCGATATAACTTAACCTAACCTAAATGGGTGCGTAAGTACCAATGTATTTTGAAAATAAGATTTTAATGAGAACTATGGGTAAAATATTGAAAATGATAAATGATTTATTTAAAAGCAATAACTTACCTTGAAATATATTTTTCAACACAGCTTAACTGGTTTTGCCAAATATCGTATATACTTTTTAAAGATTTTAAATTGCTATTATCACCGTCTATTGACTTAACATCAGTAGTTACACAATCACAATTATATTCACTTTTACTCTTATCAACAATATTATCACTTTTATTACTAATGTAATTATTAAAATTGCAATTGTTTAAAGTATTAATGGTGGGGCTACTAAAATTGAAGCCGCCGATTAATTCGCCATAATTGCTTAAATCTTCAGTTATTTTCAATTGACTATTATCACTTCTAACACTATCACACTTAAATGTTATAACAGTTGCCAAAAAGTGTTTATTAATTAAAGTCTGTCTATTAAAGAATCTTAGACGGGGATCACGTGGGGTGTAGTAGAGAAACACTTTATTTGATTTGCTGCTATTGTTGTAAGTACGATGATTGTTTTTGTAATTTTGACTAAAGAGTTTGGAACCGATTATTACCGCAGACGACAGCGTTGACAGCGTTGACAGGGTTGAAAATATTGATGATGTTATCAATTTAATTTTGTTATTATTATTATTTAAGATTGCGGTTTTTGAGGTTTGATAAAGAGATTTGAACCGAAAGTCATTCATTAAGAAAGTTAACTTTTGTATCACAGTCCTGTAGAAGAATTGAGCGATTAAACGTGTATACGATAGCGATAACGACAACGACAACGTTAACGAGAACGAGAACGACAACGAGAAAAACAACGAAACGACTAACGATAGAAACGATATCAAGCACGAGCGTGACTTCTCGAAAGATATTGCATGAGATACTCGTCTTGTTAAAGGCAGCGATTTCGTGATATTTTTAGGGTAGCGTTGGTTGGCTAGATTGCTCTTATTGAAATTTTTCGTTTTGAACTTTGTTGCACGTTTATAATGCGGTGTCGCCCACTTCAACAACGTCTTTGGTAAAATATTAAGATCCAGTGAAATACACATGCGGCAGACAATTAAGAACCTTTTATGTATCGAAATAAAATTTTTTTCTTCTCTATTTGAATTTTTTGTTTGCACTATTTGTGTTCTTGTTTTCACAACTATTGGCAAAGGACGATAAAATTTATAACAAAAATTAAATAAAAATAATTTTTTTTTCACTTCTTATGAAAGCACCGTTTAAAATGCTTCAATAATATTAATTTAATAAGATTAATAGCAGAAGGCGTGGTTAAACGGGTGTCAAATAAACCCGCGCTGTTTCGCAAACATATCGACTGTTGAAAATTATACTCCTTGACTTGAGATAAAATTAGAGACGTTTTTCTGATTGATTGAAAACTTATTCTATTTTAATTTTTCGTTGTTTTTCTCTGTGTTGATGTGATGACTGACGAAGTTTCACTTAATAAATTATAGTTGAGATGAAACTGAAAATAAAAGAAAATCCAATCGTTATTTGCTATTGTGATGACGATAAATATTTATAAAATATATGATAATATATGTTAATACATTTTAAATTTAAACTATAAATTAACACGGTTGAAAGACAAAGTGGCTTTAATTACTATAATTATTGAATATACTATATATATGTGCTTTTTTTTTTTGATTTTCAACAGCACAACTTAAACGAGTTATTTAGTATAATACCGAAAACTAGTCTTTAACCCTTTAGGGATTTATTCATACATAATACATATTTGTTAGACTAAAATATTATTAAAAATAAAATTTATAATAAAATTGTTTATGGAAAATAATAATTTTAAATAATACTGAAAACTAGTGCTTAACCCTTTAGGAATTTATTTATACATAATACATATTTGTTAGACCTAAATATTATTAAAAATAAAATTTATAATAAAATTGTTTATGGTATATAATTTTAAATACTTTTAAATTTTAAATAATACTGAAAACTAGTCCTTAACCCTTTAGGAATTTATTTATACATAATACAAATTTGTTACCGACTAAATTTATTAAAAATAAAATTTATAATAAAATTGTTTCTGTTATATAATTTTAAATACTTTTTAAATGCAATATTAAATATTAAAATAAGTTCGCTGAAATAAGGGTGTAAAAATTAACGAGGGAAGATTAAAATTAACGAGAAGATATACAGTATTCTTCGTATGATAAAAACATTGCCTTCTAAACACGAAATCTAATTAAACCCATATGAGCAACTTATGACAATTTAGGCTTCTGTTATTTCACTTTTGTTTAATTATATATGAATAATCTAAATACCATTCAACATCTGTAAAATAAAATGTTAAGATGTAGTCAATATATTCTAAATACTATATAGAATCAAATAATAAAAATAAAATATATAATAAATACATATTGTTACGTACGTTCCTACGTCGATGTAGTCGTTCGCGATCGCTGGAACCCGATAAGTAATTAAATAGTCGACGACTCAAGTTTTAGATAACCGTTTTTATTGCTCTTAGTTTTGGGAAACGCAAACACACACTTTTTTCTAATAATAATTATATATCAAAACTTATTTTCAAGCTAACTGACATTCTAAGAAACTATTTTAAAGATTACTTAAACTCAATATTCACAACAATGTATATTAGTATATCAGATGAGTGAAATAAGAGTGAAGTCTCTATATTGGTGTGATCTCGAGAAAAAACCATGTGCCCAAATAAATATTTAGACTTAAAAAACACTTGATCTTGATATGTATAAAAGCAGAACAATTTTTTGCAGAACATTAAATATTACACCTTCAAGTTACAGCCGTATAATTCGAATTTATATTAACTATTCAGAATGTTTAATACACTCTGAGATTGACAACCTAATTCAGTTAGATTTCGTTTAATATATAGTTTTTAGACTCATCATATGCTAGTTTTAATGCATTTAAATGCTATATTTTAGCACTTTTTTATTACAAAAAATTATATCACATAACAGAGTAGGTAAAAACAAAACTAAGCTTTTAAGTGAATAGTTGAATAATTGTTCTTGGTTTCTGAAAATAATTTTAACCGTAGCGTATGCAGAGGTTTAACTTACTATAAGAGGGTATAATAATATATTTGTAAATGACTCCATACGAAAGCATTTACTTTAAAAAACCATATAATTTTTACTGTAAAATATCTTAAGAAGGTTGAAACCACAAGTCCTCACTTAAATACTAAGCGTAAATAAGGTTTTAAGCTTTGTCCGTATATTAGCAAGATCTCAAGAAAATAACATGTGACCAAAAAAACATCTAAACTTGTATAGAAAAATAAAGTGCGTTAGCAGAAAATAATTTAAATCTAAAGTCGTTAATATTAATTTAAAATTTTCAATTGATATTAAAATACTGAAGAGACGTAATCAGATAAAAACCGTATAAATTAACAAACAATAAGATTTTGAACAATTTTCATTTTCTTGATTTGTCTTGGAATTTCGTACAAATATTTTTTGAAAATATTTTCCATTAATATTGCAATTGAATCTGTATATTTAACCAGTATACCATATATAATATACACGTGTAGTTTAGTATAAAAAAATAAATATGCCTATACATATATTTATTTATTATAAACATCTATATATGGTATAGATGGTTAGTTTATATATGTATGTATGTAATAGATTAATCAATTTTTAGCAAGTGACTTAGGGAATCACAGTTGCCCTTATATATCAAGGGTTTACTTGATGCGGATTAGGATTGCGGTATAGCAATAGTATATTTCCTGTAGAAGTAATGACAAAGTTGTAGTTAACAGATGTAGTACTTAAGTTAAAAATCTAAAAAAATTGCAGTTTATACATATTAGGTAGTAATTCATTAAAAACCTACACCAATGTGCGTAGTCGTACGCCGCACGATATAAAAATTGGCGGGTAAACTTTTGTAAGTGTAGACAGATTCTCTTATCTTGATGTTTGATAATAACTATTATTTATTATTTAGTGTGTAAAAATTATACATAAAGCAGAATAGCTGCGAGAAATAATATGTACTTTGCACATCTCATTATCTTCAAACCGAAACTAGAAAAGTTAAATTTCACGTATATAGCACAGTTGTTAGACTAACTGATACAATGTCTCATAGTTAATGAAAAAAAAATTATACGAATAATATTTAGTTCCTGAAGAGATAATGTTGGAATCTACTATTAATGCAACAAAGGTGAGCTAACAGTTTACACCGCTCCGGTGTTTCCCTGGATCTGTCCCTATCGGTATCGGTGTATATTACCCTAGAGGTCATTAACAGAAGTACTTATCTGTACTTTCTTCAACTTGTCAATAATAAATGAAAAAGACTTAAGTCATGTGCAACTTCCAGGTTAACATGGCCTACCTATAATAAAATTAAAATCTCCGGCAGAGAAACTGTGTATTTCTTATAATCCTCACTGCAGAAGTTGTGGAAACCCGCAGTAAAAAAAAATAATAATACATTTTCTCTGTAAATGCCCTGCTCTAGCGTTCAGAAGAAATAGGTTTTTAAGAAGATACCTCTTTGACAGTGTATCAGACTGTTCATCGGCGAAGATGAGAGATCTATTAAATTATCTGAATTCAACGGGATGGATTTAGTCTCCACTCCTTTATACAAGGGGTGTTCTTACAAGGAATGTAGTAGCAAAACGGCAAAGAATCGCTATCGTGAGATTTGCTTAATCACAACAGTTATGTTATAGAAATGGGAGGACACCACCCCCAACAGTCACTGCTAGATACAATATGCAATGGTCATTTAAGTGTACGGTGGATTGAAGTTGATTTGGGAAAGGTGAGAGCCTAAAGATAGCATATAGTAGCGCTGTACTGAGAGGGCTGCAAAAACATAGTTAATAAAACTATTATTTAGTTTTATAGCGCTACAAGATGTTAAATTAATAAAGTAATTAATTTAACATCTTTAAATGCACAAATATAATTTATATTGTAGAGAAATAATATTAATTGTAAGTATAATATAAAAATATATTTATATATTTTAATAAAATCGTAATATAATAAAAGCGTCAAAATAAAAAATACGTATTAAATGAGTTTAAATGAGATAACAAAATAATATCAAATAGTCTCAGGGAAGTGAAATCAAATGATTTTTGTTTTATATCAACTTGTAAATATATAAAAATAGAAAAAAATTTAAAATATCCGAAAAATGTGTCAGCCGAGACTTTTTGTGGTGCGAGTTTAATGAACACTATTCGATGTTATCAGTCCACGGTGATAATATTAAATAACCAGACACTTGAAATTAATTTTAAGCTTTAAATTAATTCAATCTATTTATTTAATTTCATATTTACACACTTATAGTTTTAAGTACTATAGTTAGATATGTGTTAAATACAAAATAAAAATAAGTAAAATTAAATGAAATAAATAAAATAAATAGAGTGAAAGAAGTCTGTGTTATCAAAGCTACAATGGAATATTTATATAAGCAAATTATTTAGTTTTTATTTTTGAGCTTATCAGTGTATTGATTAAAATACTTAACCAGCCATAGTTTTTTTTATCATTTTTCCATTGTATAGTATAAATAGCTAAAAATATATAACAAATCGTTTTGAAAATTATAAACCAAACAGATGCAATATATGAAAGAAAAAAATTAATTAAATAAAGCGGATTAAAATCTATTTTAATTACTTTAATAAGATGTATAGAGAATCAGAGAAGTAAGAAAATAAAATTTTAAATTATAATTATTTAATTTAGCTTGATAAATACTTTCTCGATATTTTTGCTACGTTATCAATTTTTTTGTTACTATTAAGTAGAACCATTCAGATATCTTGTTAAATTTTGTTAACTAATAATTATTTAGTGAATCAAGAGCATCTTCGTTTCTGTAAGCAGCATATAGCTGCTGTGTGTGTTTTACCATATACCCGGATATAAAGTTTTAAATTTTAAGACAAGATGTACAGTCGATTTTGCGGAATATGATCCCATTTTCCCGGGTACGCTCACTTAATAACAGCTTTTAGTTAAGTCAGCTATTATCAACAATTTTTTTCACTATACCATATATTAGTATAGCTTGGTTTTTCAAATACCGAAAGTACTTGAAATTTTTACAAGAAAACAACCAACAGAAAGTAAATGCACCTCTGACATGTCTGGAGTTCATAGTGTAATCTTTGTAAAAAGTTTACAACTCAATATCTTGAGAAGTAAGTTATATCATCGTGTCGATTTCTTTTTGGAAGATTATTTTTGGAAATCTATATTTCAGATGTTCGTAATAGTCATTAGTCTGTTTATAGGGGAATGTTTCTCTTTGGGTGCATCTTAGCATTTGTGAAGAAAATGTTCAGTTATATATTTTTCCTCTTCTAACTTTTAGCTTTTGCATTGTTGTTTGAAAGGAATCCCCAATTTTTAGCAAAGGTACTGACCAATGACCTGTAAGCAATTTCACGAGTTTTGTCTCTTTGATATTGTCACTTCGATATTGGCACTTTGATATTGCCACTACGATATTGTCACATCGATATTGTAACTACGATATTGTTACTTCGATATTGGCACTTCGTTATTGTCACTTTTATATTGTCACTTCGATATTGTCATTTCGAAATTGTCACTTTGATATTGATACTTCGATATCGTCACTTGGATATTGTCATTTTGATATTATCACATCGATATTATCACTTCGTTATTGTCAATTCGTTATTGTCACTTCGATATTGCCACGATATAGTCATTTCAATATTGTTATTTCGATTTTGTCATTTTGATATAGTTACTTTATACCTCTATATTGTCAGTTCGATATTGTTATTTCAATATTGTTATTTGGAAATTATTATCACTTCGATATTGTTACTTCGATATTGTCATTCCGATATTGACGATATTCTTTGTTCGAAATTATAAATTGATTTGAAAGTGTTTTTTCGATATCGTCACTTCAAAATTGTCCCTTCACGTCAGCTTCGATTCATTGATGTTATAAGGATATTGTCAAAAACAACTATGATTTTCACATATATATATAAAGCCGTATTCCATCAGGAACATAGAATATTTACATAGAATCGCCAGGTACTTCTGTTTAATGCTAAATGTCTCAATTCGTTAAATGATTTATTAATTTCCTGCCGGATTGTACTTCTTCATGTGGTGCAAGGCCTGCCGGGTCTTCTATTACCTTGTGAATTCCATTGTAGGGCAGCATGACAGACCTCTTCATAGGGTTTTCTTAATTTTTACATAGCATATTTGTAAATATTTTAATTCTGTAGTAGATGGAAGTTGGACAAATTAATAAATAGTAATTTTAGGAGATATATTAAGGGCTTAATATATCAGAAAATTGTAAAAGCCCAAAAAAAACCTTTGAGTAGTTATTATAAGTCAATGAAATACATGTAGGATTAGAAATCTTTGTTTTTTATTACTTATTAAATTTTTATTGTTGAAATTCAATTCATAAAATTAAATTTATTATATTATAGATATTTTACAATCGACTTTGAGTAGGGATTTTCTAATTATTATTTATAATTGTATAACGTAAATTATAGTGATACATATATAAAGATTATATTGGTGTATTTATAATTTTGTATACTCTATTCTAAGATTTGATATCTTTATGAACTCTTGAGTATTATAAAATAAAGACATGACTGTGTATATCTCCGAATTATTTATGACACTTTATGGTGTAGAAAAATTTTGAAAATGAATTATTAGATAAAGAAATAATACGGAATTACCTAAAAGTAACTTAGCACAATTTCGTTTATGAATTTCAATAATTCAGTGTAATGTAAAATGTTTTAAAAATAGCTGATGGTAGTCAGACCATCTATTGGCACTAATATGCGTAGATAAGACAGATTCTCTCTACTGTCTATACACTGTCGAAATTTGATGGCATTTGTACAAATAGATGTGGAGTTAATGCAGTGAAAGTAAAAGTAAATAACTTTAATTTTTTTTGTTTTGTATTGACATATATAAAACTGTTATCTGTTACAAAAAGGAAATTAAATAAATAAAAAATAAAAACATTGTGTAAAATTTTTTTGCTAAAATAAGATTCTGAAGAATTTTTTGTATTGTAATTGCAATTATAAAATCATATCACTTCAGGAAACACTATATAATTATTGTATTTATTAAGTATTTTAAAGAGTTATTTAGAATATCTACAATATCTAAAGTATCTACATACATATGTATATTTATATAGTTATTTTATTGAAGTCAAGATTGAAGCAAGATACTATAATATGAGTATGAAATTTTTATTTCTTTATTATTTAATACTATTTAGATAAATCACTGTTTAAGTACATGTATATATATATATATATATAAATAAGTATATGTACTATTTATACAATTTATATTTTCATTATTAAAAACGTTTGTTTCAAATGCTTGAGATATCTTATAAAATCACATAAACCAATATGATTAAATCAATGAATTTATTTTTTCTGCATAAATTTTTTTTTGGTAAATTTATATTTTTCACATGTTTCGTACCTCAACACGCCACGCATTTTTATCTCACACTTAACCAGTAAACATATTTCTAAGCTTAAATGCCTGAATGTATGCAATGTTTTTATTGTTTTTATGCTCAATGAATGGCACATGTGTATGTAAAGCTACCAATCATTATAATTCGTTACATTCATAGAGCGTTTAACACTTTACGGCGATACCGCCAAGGTCGACGGTAACAACGACCGAAGCGTTACTACAGAGCGCTCATCCGAAATTTTAACTCCATTCTCTAGTATTTTAAGATTAAGACTGAAATGATTTCGTTTCTTTTAATGTCGATTGACCGTACAATGCCGCAAACCTTTAAGAATGTTTCGTTTCATTTGTAATCGTTAGTGCGTCGTGTCGTGTCGATACGACGAAGTGATATGATGTGATGCGATGATTTGCGATGTGCGAGTAAATCGTTGTAATCATTTGCTCTAATCTAATAAATTTCTTATCACAAAGCGTCATTTTATTTCATTATTTTATGATTGCCTATTGTTACAATTATTATAGTTTCATTTTTTTTATTGTTGTTGTTGTTGTTGTTGTTTTTGGTTTCTCATTGTTATTTGTATAATAGCGCTTATATTTATAAACTCAACATTAATACATATATATATATATATGTTAACATTAAAGAATACGCATACATGATTTGAACTACTTTTGTACTTGATCTCAATTAATATTAAAAGATACAATATATTTATATGTATAAATTTTTTTCTTATTTGCAAATTGTAAAAGTTAAATAATACACCGGATATATAACAATAGTAAAAAAAATTCTAATGATTATAAAAATTTAGCATTTTTATTAATCATGCCATTGAGTTTTATATAGGTTTAATTACTTCATATAAAAATCGAACACTAAGAAAAGAAACACAAGTCAGTATTGGACCAGTAAATCCTGGGAATATAGCTGAGATGATGAGAGAGAACCCAGAGAACTGGAGCATGATAGAGACATATGTGAAGTGTATTAATCATTAATTTTGTTAAACATAATTTTATTAATCATGTCATGTCATGTCGAACACTAAGAAAAGAAATAGAAGTCCGTATTGGACCAATAAATCTTGGGAATATAGCAGAGACGATGGGAGAGAATCCAAAGAACTGACAAATGATAGAGTCACATGTGATTAAAGTCCTCCAATAAATGGCAATAAATTGGACCTAGAAGGGAGAAAGAAACTAGCTAAAAAATACTGTAGATACCAAAAAATGCGTTGAAAAAGTGGAGACCTGATCGCAGATCGTAAATCAAAAGAATATAGCTTAAAATGTCAAAATAAAAGAGACCCTCTCAAAAGTAAAGCGAAAGCAGTTTCGGTGGTAGTACAAAGCGGTAGTGTTTTAGTCCGTATGTTACGTATTAATATGTTAGGTAGTCGGGTATACCATTCCGACGACGGTCGGTTTGACAGTGCTTAAAGCCCACTAACTCCTCACACAAAAAAAAAAAAATCAAATACTGTCAAATTTAAATTAATTTGTCTAAAAGTTGTTCTTCTACTAATCATTCTACAAATTGATTAAGTGATAGGTTAATTTTACTACATACTATATAATGACATATATATATTTCGACAATAAGTCTGTTATGTATGATATGAACTTCGTTTAAATTTTAACATACATCTTTTATTAGAAGATTTTAGTGGTAATATTAAAAAAAAATTATGATTGTTTAAAATGCTTCTCATAATCTCTAAAAATTTAGTTTTATGGATTTGCGCACTGATCTCAAATTAAATGTTAGGAATAAAGCTTATGAAACTGTTTGAATCGTAATTTTATACAGTGGTTTCAAATTAAAGATTAGATATAAAATATATGGAATTGAAGTTCCATAAATTGCAGCTCTATATAGTATTAAATTCAAATTATAATTTAGAAATATAATTGGTATAAAATTTATTTTAATTTCTTTAATTTTTATTTTTTGTTTAATATAAAATACTTTGTTTAATACTTTCTTCATAAAAAAATATAAAACAAAATTTAATATTACGGAATTTATTCTAATTTATAGTTTTTGTTGCAATAAACTTAACTATCAACAAATTAAGCATAACATTATAAGTAATAATTAAAAATATTTTTTTAAATTTATATGTAATAATGAAAAATATTTTCATGAAAAATATTTTCATTATTTAATAAACATTTTTGTTTCTTATATGTTTAATAAATAATTATATATAAGTAACATATATTCATACAAATGCTCAATAAGTAATATTGTTTGAATACTATATATGTGCATAAAAATTATTTACCTTCATGTTTTTCTTAATTATACACGTGTTTAATAAAATAACTTTAACAATAACATAAATAATTTATTAACTATCATTAATAATTAATTATGAATTAAAATTCTGTATTTAATTACTATGCTGTACATATTTTGTATTTCAATCAACAATTTTCATACACTCGTACAAATTCTCTAATGAAATGTGCATTTAACTCAATTTATTATAAGGGATTGTACGAGTATATCATAAACCTAATGTTATTCACATTCATCTTAGATTGTATAAAATTAATATTTTATATTTCTATTTATCATTAATAAATATTTTTTTTGCTCATGTTTATTAGAAATTAATAGTGATATATTACAAGCACGTACAACATTAAATCCAAAAGCATGTAACGAACGATACCAATACTTGTTCCAAGTGTCTTTGGAACAATGTATAATTTATTTACCTTGATTTACGATAATTGAGTCTGTGCTTACAGGAGCTCATTTTATTTTCTTGGTGGATTAGTGTTAAAAATTAATGTCAAAAATATTTGTTGGTAAAACACACGCACCTGAATGGAAACTTTGCAAACAAAAGACACTTTTATTCGGCTTAATTCAGTTTTATTGGATCAAAATAATCGTTCATGATGTATTTTGTAGATAATGTCAGGCTTTATCGTCTTTCAACACGATAAGATAATTTGACAACGCAAAGTTGGTAATTTTACGCTAATCATTAATCAAAGGATTAACGTTTGTTTACAACTCCCAATCGCCTTACACGTGACAACACACATTTTTACATTTTAAATGTCACAAACGATAAGAAAATTCGAAGTAAAATAAATATTCTTTAAATTCTTCTTTTCATTTTATTTCAAAATAAGTTTTTATTTAATTTTAAACAGAATTTTTATTCAAACTAGTGTGTCAATATAGTTAAATTATATTAATAAATAAAGTATTATAGAATACAAAAATTAATAATTAAAAAAATGCTTTGCATTACGAAAGAGCATAGGGAACATTAAAAATAAGTTCTATAAAAAGGTTTTTCGAACACTAGTGAAGAACAACAAAATTATTTTAATAAATTAAATTTTTGGCTGGTCATACAGCTGTTTCGAGTATTGCCAAATACACATCATCAGTGGTCTTCGAAATAATTCTTGTATTTAATTATTCGTAAATAATTTTTTGATACTGCAAGTACCAGGAATCGAACTCGTGTCCTGCCAAATTTGAAGCTCAGAGTCAGTGCACCTTAACCAACTGACCTTAAGCCGTACTTGACTTTTATGTACGCATATTTTACTGGAGTTTTCTTAATTTGAATTTTATGTTTTACATTTTTATTGCTGTTGGATAGCACTTTTAATATTAAAAATGCTTATACAGTCGTTTCCTACAGATATTTTTCGGGGATTTTTGTAAAATTTGCATTTTCTCCGTTTTTAATGCTATTAACCATCAATTTTTTACTTTGGCGGTGCTGTTCTGCAAATATTCTCATCTTCTTATGACCTTAAAACTATTTATTTTAGTTTAGTTCGGTTGAAATGTTGGTTTGTTTAATCGACCTTTTATTTCATTTTTTAATTTTTTTAAAAGCATAATAATTTTTTTAAAAGCATAACAATTTTTTAATTTAAAATATGAAAACAAGAAAATGTTTTAGTCTTTATTAACCTTTAACCAAATCAACCACACTGTTTAGCTTTAATAATTTTTAGCAGTTTTGCTTTGAACATGACATTGGCTTTATAAAAAATTTAGTTAGAATGTCCTTAAAACGACATAAAGGAAAATAAAATTTTTTATTATTTTGCCAGGAACTTATATTAAATTCATATTTACGAGACAAAGTTTAGTTTTTTCTTTATTATTTTTGCTTTGAAAATCTAAGTGTGGTTAATGAGAGCTGTTGAAGCATTCAAAATGCTTCCAAGGACATAAGCAGACAAGGACATGTGCCTCATACTTTGCTAATGCTTTTGATAATTTTTATTTATTTTCTTTAAGTTGACAGCACTTCACATATAATAAATTAAAACCGAAGGTCAACTGAAACTTAATAAAGCAGACGTTCAGTGAAAAATTCTATAGTAAGAATGAAAAAATTTTATAAAGGATGAATTGAGCAAAAACTAACATTTTAAACGAGAATGTATTAATTATGACATCACAAAAATAGTAGCAAAATAGATATCAAGGAATATATTTATGGAATGGTAGAAAATATGGAAATTATTTCAGAAATGACAAATTATGTAAATAGATACTTTTTGTTAATGAATTCAATTTTATTTAATTAAAATATAAAATAAGCATAAATAATGACTAGTTTAATATTATACAAATTTAAATAATTTTCAGTAAAAAATTATAAAAATAATATAAAAAAAATCAGAAATTTAATCCTAAATGAATTAAAAATTATATAAATAAAATAAATATATTTAAAAATATAAATACAAATTTCTTACTATTTATTTTTAGTTGGAGAGACAAATGAAAATTAACAAATCGAAGTTAACATCGCAATTTTGAATGAATTATCTAGGTTCGCCCAATTTAGTTATAGGGAGAAAATGATGGACCAATAAATTTTCATATTAAGCCTGATTTAAGTTTATAAGTGATTATTGTCACTGCTTATTTTTAGTTGACGGCTATTGCGTTTCCATCAAGGTTAGCTACAAATATTCGTGCTTAGTGAACCAGTGGTCGGTCACAGAAAATATTTTTGACGGTGTGGAACTCTGCGGAAATGCCAGATATTTTGCATTACAAACTGATTACAACTGAAGAGAGGACACTTAGATCTTTGAAAGAGGATTCAAATGTTACCTGCTGAGACAATCTGGTAACAGAAATTACTTCTTTTAGTGCAGATTAATGTCGGACAGACCCAAAGCGTCTTCTCGGTTTTCAAGTGAAATTAAGACTCTATCCACTCAGATA